TTTCAACATTAAGACCCCCAAAAAGCTCCGATTGCGCGCGTGCGTGTGTCTGCTTCTTTCGTCGTCAGGTCCCGGTTCAGCCCGAAGACTCCTCTGCGTCCCCACGAGCTCTTGCGGACCCGGCCTCCAGCTGCTGGTAGTATGCTGCCAGCTCCGCGTCATCCTACCCGGCCCCCGAACCGGGCCAAGGATCCGGGAAGCAGCTCTTCGGATCTGGGGAACAGCCTTCCCTTGGGCTTCCTTGACACAAAACGGGCACAAAAAGACACAAATGACAAGGGGACTGTAGCCCCAAGTCCCGACGGAATGCTCAGGCGGCCGCTGGTGGTCTTTGAGGTTCGCCTGGCCAGGCTCGGCGACTGTCTGGTCTTTAAAACAATAGGGCCCTGTTTAGATGACCCTGTCTAGACGACTTTTTGGTGACCGTTTTTGGGGCCCTGTTTGGGGGAGGACCTTCTTAAAAGACATCACGAAAGTCATCCCAACGGCTCTCCAAAGGGCTGTTTGGCCCATTTTTGACCCCGTCGCCGTCTGCTTCAGGAGGTGGTTGCAACAATCCCTCACGATGCGTTCCCTGCTAATCCCACCGGCCTGAATTGAACTCCTGCAAAGGCTGGCTGCCTGAAGCACGGCAGAAAATGGGTAGGCGAACGCTGTGAACCACATGCCTGGCTTTGGGGGTCCCAGGGCCAATCAGTGACGAGTCTGGAGGTAGCAACACTCCAAGTTTGTCAGTCAGTAGCTCCGATGCTCTTATCTCCCAACGTTTTTTTTAGGGTAGCCTGTTGAGGGCTGTTCGAAAGAGCAACTGACGAAAATCTATGGGCAGCAAACCAGTCAAAATTTGACTCATGGCTTGAGCCAAACATCCACTCGATGCCTGGCATGTCTCTGCACATGGCAAATGTGATTTCTGAACACCCCTCCTTCCGCTACAGGGCTAGCTCTACTAGACCTTGGCGGATTCGAGGGCCGTAGCTCCTCTGGCTTTGCCAGTTTCAAAGCCTTGGTTCATCATGCTCATGTGCCGCTCACAGACTTCGCGAGTCATCGGCTTCGTGAACAAATCTGCAAGATTCTTGCGCGTGTTAACAGCTTCAAGCTTTATGTCTCCACACGCTACTCGCTCTTGCAACCAAAGGAACCTTGTCTGCACATGCCTGAGCTTTCCTAGACCTTTTCTAGATGCCGCGCCATGTGCTCCAGAACTGTCTGACACAACAGTGATGGAAACTTCGATTCCCCAATCTGCTAACAATGCCTTCACTGAAAGTCCTAACGCCACTGCTTTGACTGCCGCGTAATATTCAGATTCACCTGATGACAGTGCTATTGTAGACTGCAAGTTCGAAGTATGCTTCACACAGTGTCTTCCTGCCATGCACACACAATGCCAGTAGTTCGATTTGCGTGTAAGCAAACATCCAGCACGGTCGCTGTCACAGCAGATCTTGATCTCCTTACACACTGATTGGGCTCTGAAATGTGTGTCAACGCGTGGCTTTCCAGCAATGCAGCGCACCAACCTCTTGAGGTCCTTCACGCGCGCGTCTGTTGGGCTTTGCGTCCACCGTGTCAAGGGCTTGACACTCTCTGACAGGCCGGCTCTGTCTTGCGCCAAGAACTGTGCCCGCATTACCAAGCTTCGGTAAAAACTTGCTCGTTCCGGGCCCAATGGTGGCAGTCGCTCAAAACATCTGCAAGGCGTTTCTTCTCACTGGGAGTGGACAATTTTTGCTCTTGTCCAGGTTCATCTGCCTTACCAACAACTCAGCGCGCCTCGGGTCGGCCTCGTAGCTGACATCTCCTGTCGACTGATCGTGTGTGACGATGCGGTTCAGGACGGTGAGTCTGCTTCCTTCACCAGGTCCAATGATGCCGTCACATCGAAATTCGTCTCGCTCTCCCAACGCCTTCTGGATGTGCGCTTCAGAATCATCAAGGACAAAAAAGTCTGCTTCATCGTTCCTGAAAACACTGGTCCAGGCACTGCCACTAATGCAACCTCGCGTCTGCAAACGGTCAGTGTAGTCCATCTGCCAAACATGGCTTGCATCTTGCGCGCCGTACATCGTCTTCATTAGCCATGCGCACGTTCCTGCTTCCTCGTCGCCTTCAGGAAGTGTTGTGTTTACACTGTCCTTTGCGCCCTTCCATAGAAGTGTGCGCGACTCATGTCGCACAATGCAAGTTTCAAGGGTCTCCCGAATCTGCTGATCTTCTTGCTTGCTAGAAGGGAACACAAAAGCTTGCCCGCTTCCAAGGTTGGCATATTGGAGAACAACATGTGCGCCGGCAAAGAACCATGCCTCTTCTTCACTTCTCGCACAACCAATCTACTCCGATAGTTTGGCTTCTCAGAATCCCCTTTGTTCGTCGAGCCATTTCAGGGTTGTTGGCTGTTTACCAGTGACTTCGAGACACTCGGTGATTGGGCGCTTCACGCGCGCCTCTGCACGTTTGCTCCAGCCCAACTCATCTTGCCTGGCATCCACTTTGTAGTTGTCCAATACCACTCCGGTATTGGCATCGTAGTAGATTGCGTCACTTCCGCTCTCAACATTGCTCGAACAAAATGCCTCCTGGTCCTCTTCGCTTGGGAAGAACTCCTCGTCAACAATTGCTCCTCCTCCAAGACTATACACTGCAGCGTTGAGAACTCCAAGTTGCTTTCTGAGTCCTTTCAAAACTGCTTTTACAAGTTCTGGCGGGTAAGGCTTGGCGGGCGTGGCACGCCCGTTCACAAGCATCACACGCCTGTGCCATGGCTTTCCGCTTCCATCCGCGTTACTGCAACTTGCCCAAAGAACTGCCGCCAGCTCAGCGCTGTTGGCTTGACCAACCCCTTACCTATGCTGTCTTCCGAGGTCATGTGCCAGTGACACATTGCCCCTTTGACAACTTGAGCATCAGGCAACGCTTGTACTCTCTTTACACACTTCTCATGCCAGCTAGTGGCACCCCATGGGTGCTCGTGAAGGAAGTACCTCTTCCGGCGAGCTTGTTCATAGAAGTTGCAAGCTGTCTGCAGCTTCTTCTTTCCCTCTGCTCTTCTTTTCAAGCGGTCATCTCCTTTCTCAGGTTCCGAAGAGCACTAAACTGATCACAGCAAGGCGCTCCTGTCAACAGCATTGGATCGTCAAGCTTCACCTTGTGCTTCAGTGTGAGCACATCTGTTTTCTTTGTCAAGCCCCAGCCAGTTTCGAAACCATCATCCCATTCTTGCTCGTCACCATCCTCGGTATTCTTCATGGCGCCAACCTTCTTTGGCCTACCCTTTTGGCTGTTGCCTTTGGCCCTTCTGCCCCTTGGGCCTGTCGCCACTGCCGGATCCTTTGCCTTTGGATGTGTTCTTCAGCATCCAGCAATCTCCCTGAAGGTGACCGGGCTTCCCGCAGTTGAAGCAACTGCGAGACTCCCCCTTTTGGCCCGATCCTTGTCCTGAGCTGGTGCCACCTTAGCCAGCGCCGGTAGCCAGACCTTTCTTACCTTTGTTCTTGCCTTTGCCTTTTCCGCCTTTCGTGAATGCTCCAACATCCATGGCGTCGGGGTCTTGTACCTTCGAGCTTGGGCTTGATGCCGTGCCTAGTTCTAGGTAGAGCCGCAACTCTTCCCAGACACGCTCGAACGAATCGAGACGTGAGCGATTCAACTGCAAATGTCTTTCAATTTCAACCGGGCACATGCTTCCCAAAATGGAAATCTTAACATCCTCAGGCAAGTCTTGTCTGTCCCCTACTGTCCTTGCGTTCTTCGTATCTTCGTACTAGGTCCATCCAAGATTCAATTCCAGCAGATAGTTCTTCCAAATTCAGCTTGGGGATCGCGAACACTTCTCAACAGGGATCCGTGAACCGCCGGTGGCTGGGTCGTGCCTCCTATTAATTTTCCTCCATGCCTCAAGGCCGTTCCGTCTTGTCGTTTCTGATGATGCTGAAGACCTCGCCTTCCATCAAGCTCTGCACCACAGCATGCAACTGTGCTGCCTTGTCTTCTATCCTATCTATCTCGTCCATCGGCCGACGTGATTTGTGCATCTTGGTCTTCAGCCCAGGCCAACACTTGTTCCATCTGTGCCAGGAGCTGGATTTGTGCTTGAAGCTGTTCTGCTGTTGCCATGGCTTGCCCTCGTCCACTAGCCCAGAACTGAGGGCTCCGCTACCGTGATGAAAATGTATGGGCAGCAAACCCTTCTGACTGATGGCTTGAGCCAAACATCCATTCGATGCCAGGCATGTCTCTGCATGTGGCAAACGTGATTTCTGAACAAGAACCCAAGGGTGTTCCCATCAAATTTTGAAGATCGGCCTCTTTGAGAAGTGCCATCATCGCTGGCGTAGCCTCCTGGATTCAGCTGCGCCGCCAGTTGCCTGGAGTATTCCTCGCAATCTCTGTGCAGAGCCGGGAAAGAAGTAATGACTGTACAGACCACGTTTGACATTGTGGTACAGCGGTACATTCCTTTGACAAACTCATTGGTTCATCAAGAATTACAGAAACACATGACAAACAAACCGAGTTCAGGGACATGGGACAATTCGTGCGCCGGGTTTGGAGTGCAGGTGCCCTAGCCATCAATCACAAAACTGGCCTGCCTGATAGACATTCCGTTCAACTTTTTGAGTCCAATGAGCTGGCCTACTTCTGACAAGAACGCGTCATGCTTTTCTCACTGCTTCTAGACGTCATATGACTTGGGGCTTTGGGATTTCAGATCAGCATCATAAGCTCTGGGAAGGAGCCAACACCATGACCAAAAAAGGAGTGTTGACCATGGCACATACGGGCCGGCATGAATTCTTATTGGGGACTTCGGTAGGCATCATTTGCATGCGGATTTACATCGGACCACTTTGGAGAGTGGTCCCCATCAAGATTCATATCCAAATGGACGCCTTTTTACCCTTTTGGAGTGTCCAAATCTAATTTGAGACAAACCCAACGGGTTGAATCCTGTTCCAGCGTGACCCAATCTGACTCCTCATCAGCTTCCAGCTGCTTCAATCTCGCCTCCAGGTTGCATAGCTATGTGGGGATCTACCACCACCACAGTTTGTACCAGAAACACCAATGTGTGTTTGTCTCAAACTGAAAGAAGCTACAAACCTGGTGGGCCCCGTTCGTTTCCCTTTCAATCAACTCGGAAAAGGATATCCTCATAAATGCAGGCATCGCACAACACAGCGACCATTTCAACCAAGCATGGCCAAACCGTGTGAAGCCACGACTCAATTGATCCCTTGAGAAAAGCTTTGCTTCTGAGATGACTACCCCAACCCCCCACACCTGAGGCTTAATAGGATATATCGTGCAACCAATGATGTGTATATATATATATTACTTATTTACTTATTTACTTATTTACTTATTTACTTATTTATTTATTTATTTATTATATAGAAGGAGAGAAGAGAGAGAGAGAGAGAGAGACTCCACAAAGAATGTATCCCCCGGTTTCTGCCTGGGTGCAGTGACTTGGGGGTAGTAAAACCATGATATCTCGACGTCGAAAACAGCTCATGTGGAGAGCTGCTCTCCCGAGTTTGACTTTCGATCCATCGGACTGGGCAGGTGTCCTTCTGGACATCGATGGATTCCACTGACACATTTAGAAAACTGAAGCCATCAGGCATGTTCAACCAAACTCACCTAAAAGCACACAATAAGATACCATAAGATACCACAGGATGCCATAGGTTAGCATGCGATGCCATAATAGACCTGCGTGGCCAGCCGACCTCTTCCTCCTCTTTGGCGTACTGCTCAGCGAGTTCCGCATCCTTCTGCTCCTGTCGTGCTAGGCTTTGCCGTTCTCCCAAACTGGGTTCTTGACTTTGAGCAGGCTCCGTCCGTAACCCGTGTGCGACACCATTGCAACAAGGCAAACCAGTGAGGAAACGCAAAGTGGGTGTTTGCCCTTTAGACTCTCTGCTCAGCAAGCCCAAAATGCACAATTGAACAAATCGACTCGCCGGCACACCCGCGAAATCTACTCGGCCCTACAAAATGAAGTTGGGTTCACCGTGCTTGCTCTTCACAACAGGCTTCGAAGCTTCGAACTACCAGCTAAGCGGCCATCCTGAAGGTGCCCGACACACTGGACACACTGACACACACACACACACACACACCCACACGCACACACGCGCACAAGCACACACGCACACACGCACTCACGCACCCACGCGCGCACGCACGCACCCACGCACCCACGCACGCACGCACGCACGCACGCACCCACACAAACACACACCCAAATGCCTGTCCTGTTCTAGCCTCCTTTCCTCTTCCGCTGCTTGCGCTTCCCTTTCTTTGAACCTGCCAACTGCCAGGAGTGCCTGATAGGTTCGAAAGCAAGAAAGCTCCTGTCAAGTCTTGTGGCCCAACCGACTCGACTCGTTGATTCACCCTGCATTCTACTGTCTTCAAGCAACTGGCACTTAGCAATCAGCCTGGGCAACCAGCCTCGGACCCTACCGAAAATGCTGGACGAAAATGGAACGCCGAGAAGCACCAACCCCTGTGGCACACAGCCAAATGCCTTATACTTATCCCCCCTAACTCAATAGCAAGGGAGGAGGGGGTCCCCAGTTCCGGTTTGTCTAGTCGTCCCAAAAGGGAAAAATGGAACTCTGGAATTGTTTGGGGTCGTACAGTGATACTGTTACTGCAACTTGTTGAAGGGGGGGTGCAAGCCACTCCTGCCTCTGCTGGTGTCTCTGCCGAATGTCTGCCAGCTCTTGAAGGGGCGACACGCTCGCCCCCTGACACAGGCAAACCTTCCAGCTGGGCCCCTTGAAAGGGGAACCTCCTTTGGTTGAAGCACTAGCTGAGTAAACATGATCAATCGGTTGGCCCCCTGCTAATGAGGGTTCGCAGAAATCTCAGTTTGCCCCTCCGGCCGGTTTAGTAGGGAATGATCCTTTACAAACCCACTAAACACAACCAAGAAGCGTAATTGTTCACGGGATTCTTCCCATGTTGCATAACAAACGGCTTGATTCTCATCCGTCCTGAAGCCGACCAGACATGAGCAGCGCCCAAAACCAACTGACGCTTCATTCTACCCGATTCTACCAGCAGGGAGTACCCCGAACTCCTCTGCTGCAAGGTCTGCCTCTCCGAACCAACATCAAGTTGTAATTTCATCGCCCTTCCAGGATCAGGGTTTGCCTTTTGCCCCCCTCCCCATAGCTGGGACCGCTTCAGAAGCTGTCTACTCCTGACAGTCCCTTGATTGATTTTCCCAAACAGGAATTCTATAAAGCGCAAACCCTGCAAATGATCTTTCAGAAACCAACACTCTTTCGGATGGAGAAATCCTGCACCAGTTGGCAGGCGGTGTATTCCGGTATTCAAAATCCATCCACACTATGACACCGCTCTGGCAAAAGCGATCGGCTTCCCACCTCGGTCTCCTCCATAAGCCTCATGAGCATAGGATTGGCGCGAACCGGTAGTGTCCTGAACCCTAACAACCCCGCTGGATGTTGAAAGGAAAGCAATGGAAACGTCATCTGTTTTGTGGGCCCCGTATTTTTAGACACTCTCATGGACAAGCGTGATAAACTCGTGCGAAATCCCGCGAGCTGGGACAAAGCCAGCATCCAACCAGCTTGGGATGAACGATTTGTTGAGTTTGTCTTCAAGTGGGCAACTACTTTGTTTTTTGTTCAAACTTGGAAATCAACACATTGCAGAGATGCTGCAGGACATGGCCCAAAGCAAACTCTGCAATCTGTGAACCAATATGCCAATGCAACCAACTCATGTGTTCAGTGTGTTGGCCTTTTATGGACCTGAGGTCCCAGCTCCGAAGAAACTTTCGGGAGGTGAGGAGCTGAAGGCTCGAGCCGGGCAAGCCCCTGTCCCACCCAAAGGTCCCGTTCACTTTGCTTGAGGTCTAAGGTCAGGCCAAGCCCGAAGCCTGCAAATGGTCCAATGAGAGCCCTTCTGCCCATCAAGGGGCACCAGGGTCCCAAAAGCAGCCCGGGCTTCCACCCAGCGTGAAGATGGAAAGGGCTGCGGAAGCGGCCGCGAGCGGAAGGAAGCGACGTCTCTTTGCCTCGCTGGCAAGAGAGCGCCAGGGACTTTGCCCGGCAGAGCGGGCCGCTGGCTCATCTCCTGAATCAGACGGTGGTTGTTTCAAGTAGCCAGAACCAGCAGGAAGCTTTGAGCAAACGAAAGGGTCGATCAGAAACAAACCAAAACAATGCGACCACTGCAATGTACATGGCACCAAGTTTTCCTGAAGATGTATCTGCGATCCCAGAGCTTGCACGGTCTCCCACCATGTCAGGTTCGCTTGCAGAGGGTGTTGATTTTGTCCTGGCTAGCCTGCCCCTGCGTTGTGGCTTTGTTTGCTTAATTTGCATAACGAGGCGTGTCAGCAGTGAGTCCAATCTCCATCCCCGCTGTTGAAAGCGTTTGGATGGCCCTCGCACCTTTCGATGTCTGCAAAGTGATTCACCATGTGGCTGTGCAGCTGCGTCCAGTCCCTAGCAGTTTCCCTGCAGTCTTCCTTGGGCTTCCCTAGACCCAGATGGAACCCACATAGGGGACGTAGGGGTACCATTCAGTGTGTTTGGAAGAAAATATGTCCGAGGTTCAAATCCGTTCGAGCCGCTCACCTCAATCCCCGGCCAGGAAGGCTTCGAAGTCGGAGAAGGTCACAGAGCCCGCCTGCGCGACTTGAGGAATACAGAAACGTCGGGACCATGGCTACGGCTTTGAGTTCACGGGCCACCACGCATTATGAACAGCCCCCGCATTTGGCCCAGATTCGTCGCATGGTGAATTAGGAGACGACAAAGTGAAACAACAGGATAGGAGTTCTGGCAAACCAAGCTCCACCTGACTAAATAACGTCCTGTGATTTGAAGCGCTCAGAGTGTTTATCTTGCGGACAGGGTTTCCACCAGCGTGTTGTGATGAGTAGACTGCGCGCACCAATTCAGCTTGACCCAACCAAGCATGTCTTACAGGGCAATGTCAGTGGAGAAGAAACAGGCTCAGCGAATGCGGATATAAACAGATTGCATCGCCGGAAGGAGAAATCTGCGTAGATCAGCCCAAGAATCAGGAAACATACGTATCATGCGGCCTAGATGTTGCTATACTTCTAGCTGCGTTGCTGTACTTTCTCAGCAACACTGTCCTGCAGTGCACGAGAGCAAAACCACATCACTAGAAGCTATTAAAGATCCACACATGATCCATTGAATGCCGTGCTATCAGCCATCAACTGCTTGAAGCACCAGCTACAAGGAACTTCCGTAAGTTCCCTCGTTAATTTCAAAGCTCGGCCATCTTCCATTTGCTGAAGTCCGCAGGAAGCAATATAAATACTTGCAGGTATAGATTCCCACTTCAACCAGCAGGGGAAAATAGAAACACGTTCTTAAGCAAATGGAAGCCGTATTCAGAGTTTCTTTGGGGTCTGCTCTTCGGATTGCTTGCGGTCGGCCTTGGACCTGTCCATCTCTTGGAAGAGTTCGGCGGCTCGGCGGGCCACCGGGCGGCAAGTATCCGAGCACCTCAGCATCCCCACGTGGCTTTGGTGGGTACCAAAGGGTCGCTTTAAAGGCAAAGCGACGTGCCATGCTAGGAGGAACGGTATGGGTCAGGCAAGTCATGCAAGTTTCGGCTTTGATGGTTTGGATTGGTGAGGCCAGAAAGTCGCTTCCCATTCGAGCAGGAACCCGTGGTTTGAACCACCCATACCTAATGGCTATCTGAAAGTTGCTGTGAGAAGCCCACTTGCCCTGGCAAAAAGAGCAGCCAACAGAAAGCTGGTGTCATGCGAACTGCCCGCACTGCGCATGTCTTCACTTCGTCTGGTTGCTCTCCAGAAGCTTGCAAGTAACGTTGGGATCGTTGCATCAGCAGGCTCGGGGGCTTGCCAATCCAAAACACCCGACGTCCACAAGTGGCTTATACAGTATACATAAATCATAGCATGTGGCATCCAGGAATTCTGCCCCCCAGTGTCCGCCGCCTTCAAAGGCCCCAATGGGATTTGTTGCACCGCGAGGTACAAGGGACCTGGACCAGGTGACCTGGAGAGCCCCCGAAAGCCCACAGCCTTGAGGGTCCGAGGGTCCCGGCACCTCCTGGAAGCCTTTGAGGTCCAGGAAGCCCTGGTCGTTCTTGTCCAGGGCTGTAAACCTGAGAGCCCGAATTCACATCATGAAGGTGACTCGCAAGGTAAGTGTAAGACAAAAAGCAGAAAGGGAGGAGGCTAGAGGCAAAGTGGGACTGGTTCTTTGGAGAAGCACACTTGTCAGGAAGTCCTTTTTCCAGCAGCCGAACTCCGATTTTGCCCCATTCTGCAGGCAGGCATGCATCCCCTTCAAAATATTCCCCCTCATTTTACCGAGTTCTCGGCTTAAATCATGGAAGCCGCAAGCAATTGGACCTGCGAAACCTGTCAGTGTTCCCAACTTTCGCCCAGGCCTTCGGTGGCTATGTAGCGAACATGTCTCGGTTGCTGGACAGCCAAGGTATCGAACAAAAGGGCACACAAGCCTCTCTGGGTGTCATACCGGGAACAACAATATAATATCCATGTGTTGAAGCCAGGGATCCTCCCCATATTTATCAACACCAGCTTGGGTTCCCTGTCAACCCGATCCCGAAACTAACGGGCAGGTCTGTTTCCCCTTATTTGCCTCACACCCACGCAAAGGTCCGATGGGCTTCCCGGCAAGCGAAGGGCACGATCCCTTTCCCCAAAGACCCGCCTGGGAGAACGGGTGGAAAGTGTGCAAAATTATGGTGCGTCCCTTTCACGCAACCAGGGGATTCAAATTCAATGTTGCCCAATGGAAAGCTGAAAGCACAAAAAACAAAGGTAACTTGTTGATGGTGTGTCGAATAAGTACAGAATGAGATAATCAGTTCTCACTGAACTAGGGCTTGGTTTGTGGTTTTGAAGTTTAGAATATGAACTATTAGGCATAGGTCTGGACTAGATGTTGCGAATGATGAAACACATTGAGATTGGGAACGGTTGACATCAACTGATTTCAGTGTTGAGGCTATGATAAACAAAGCGTTTTAAAGGGAACAAATCAACCCATCGTTGAAGTTGTGATAGCAACGATGGCTTCCAGGCCTGTGAGAAATGACTCAAGTGTCAACCCAATGATAGAAACACAGCTCTGAGATATGAACAAACACAACTTCTCCCACTTGATATCATGACCAATAAGCTGCATTTCGCTGACGCGCAATGAAACAAGCTTAGTTGCGTTGTATAAGCTTCCACGACCGTCGACCCCGCAGGGAAAACACACACATACGTTCTGCCAAGGTACATGAAATAGAACCTCAACACAGCAATGCTTGTGAACTTGTAACTCCAAATCTCCGGAATAACAATCGGGCATTGGAGCAATGCTGACCAAAACTTGACGCCCTACGCATGCATAGTCATTGCACTCAAGACAACCCTGACTTGAAGGAGGGGGGCTTGGCAACATCTCAAGACTCGCGTATCGCAAAGCAGCGAACAGAACATGACGGCGTTGGAGGCCTACGCCAAGTTCCTGATGAAACAGAACAGAAATCAGCATCTTGTGTGTCCTTCCCAGAGGACCATACGTCACAACAGGAGGAACGCAATTGCGGGTTGTATCTGAGTTTCCCTTTAAACTAACCTGAAGAGCATACCCTCAAACAAACACACACACACAGACAATAGGGTCTGTCACATGGCAAGTCCCGCCTTCGGTCTTCAACCAGAGCCAGAAACGCCTAGCGTAGGTGACTCTTCCCTTGCTCCCCAGAGAAATCGCAAAAGGCCCAAAACCCAAAACGAGTTTCCTCCGTAATTTGTTCTGTCGATGTTAAGAAGAGCGTGGTTGGGCCTCGATGTGCCAAGATTAAAGTCCAGTTCCCAAGTCAGGAGTCTCAATAGATCAGAAAGGCCAACAGCGCCAGCAGGGGGCCCAAAACCCATTTTGGCTGTTCCAAAATCGATGGAAAGGGGTTTATGTAGGCCTTGCTACAACTTCCCAGGCAGCAGAAGCTAAATGGCCAACACGGGAGTTGGGAAAGCTACAAGAATAGGGAGGGCGAGTCTTTGAACGTCCTGCATCGATCGTTTGCGCTTTGAATAACCTGGTCTCCAACTCGCGTGTCTAGAAAAAGCAACAATACCCATCCCCGTTTGGCCTCCATTTGGGGATTCTACACATCGGCTATGTAGCGCCTGTCTTCTCTAAAGACACGAGTTGCCAAGTGCCCGCCTCAAGCCGCACGCCCACTTCAGGCCTCAGGGTTGCTCCGAAATTGCGGCCGACCTTTCTGGAGCACCCCTCCTAGACAAGACATGGGGAATGGCAGACCTTGACTTCTGAAACGGCGCCGGTGACTTTGATTGTGCTTCATGAGAGAGTTATGTACCATGCTTGGCAAGCATGGTTTGCAATCGTTGAGATCTGATCCGCTCTGCATCCGCAGTACAGATGCCAGATTCATAGCATCTACGGTGCATCCAGGCCAAATGGGGAGGCCTAAAATATCAAACGGATTCACATGTGTTGTCAAGGGAAGCCCGCCATGAACGGTGGTCCTGTTGCCACGGTTTTTTGGGTTGCAAGCTAGCATGAATGGGTGGTTGTGAAAAGCCACTTTGCTCTAAAAGGGCCTCTTCTCTGGTGGGTTCCATAGTTGAAAAGAGGAGGGTACTCCTTGTTTGGACATACAACTGAGAAATGGGCTTCTCCGTCTTTTGTTTGAAGTCACCACCTTGATTTCTCCAATTCGAATCTCCTAACGCACTATGAAACGTCATTTCTAAACCCAAACCAACCCTAACTGAAGCCCACAAGCTCTTTCAGATTCCACGCCTCTTCATGGAAGGATCCAGTGACCCCTCAGCCAAGGCTGGGGCTCCGAGTACTGGTCCATGAGGTCCCGAAGGTCCTGACCGGCGAGGCGTCAAGTTGGATGCTTGAAAGGGCTCAGCAAGATGGTTCACGTGCTGTTTGACATGGTTTGCATGGAGTACATAGTGATTGACATTTCTGGAAGCTTTCGGGTCTGCCTGGTTGTAGCCTGAAGTCCTGCCGGGATTTAGCAAGGTCTGCCATACCCCCAACCGGGCAGGCATGCCATCAATCAATAGTCTCCCTGTATGAGAGGGCAGCGTCGCAATGCAAAACATAACCTAGAGCGAGTGCAACACTTCCTGGAGCGAGTGCAACACTTCCGCAGATCAAGGGAAAAACCATGTGACCCTGCGCAGGTACCCAACCTATAAAATAGGTTTATGAAATGTATATCGGTATACAAGGGTCTGTACTTGGGGCAAGTATTCCAGGGGCACGACATAATGAATCATGCCCCCATAAACTGCAAACCCGTCAGCAAGCTGCTATGACCTCGAACCCTTTGCAGCGAGATCTGTCACCTATGTTGTGAAAATGCCCTAGTCCAAGTCTGATTGGTGCACTAGAGGCGTTTCCTCACAGACTTCCTTTCAGCTCGAGCGCTTTAGCCAACCTGCGGGTGCCTGCTTCTTGAACTTGAAGCCGAAGACGGCGATGACTGCACAGCCTCACTCTCGCGCTCCCTCTTCATTTCTTTGCTTTGTTTCTTCTCTCTTCCTCTCTCGTACCTCCTTCGTTTTTGCCCCTCTGTCTCTGATGAAATCCTTAACAGCACCTTTGACAGTTTCGACCGCCCACTTACCCTCTGGTGTCCCCTGTCATCCTCCATAACCCTTCTGTCAGCCTACATGATTGAAACGAAGAAGGTAGCACCTCGAGCTTCAAATGGACAAATTCATGTACACTGTGGCCCAACGCTTTCCAGTACTGTGGGTGGTGCTTAGGTCATCGATGTCAAGGAAGTGCTTGCCATCTGTCGGACGGCATGCAAGCGTTCCCGAGCCGAGGCTGACTGTAGCCCCACATTTGGTGAAAATTAAGAGGACATTGTGGACAAAATGGTAAGTATTGCATTGAGTCTTTAATATATCGCACACCAAGTAAAGATGCGAGGCCAGGGTCCCCCAAAAGGAGCCGTCCACAGGGGAATCCGCGCGCTTGGCGGCATGTTCACCCTGCGCCTGAGAATTGATCGAAGGCAGCCCGCGCATCCATGCAGCACTTTGATCACGCTCAATCAGTAAAGCAGCCCCCATGAACCACTCATCACTGTCAGCAAAGCCCTCCAATCTTCCTAGGCTGCTTTACCTATCGAAAAAGCGTCGACTAAAGCAACATATTCAGTGTCGCGCATGTAAATCATGGCTTGCCTCACTCCATGATCACAACTCTCAAGTCCGAAATTGCAAAACTTCTTCCACTTGCCACCAGTGCAGTCGTGTCCACTCAGACTTGCGCAACATGCTTGGCTCAAAGCCCTGCAAGCCAGAACCCGGAACACCGAGCCATTTTGAGGCGCACCATCTAAAACCTAGATCCTGGTATGTTGTCTGTTCCTCACATGGTTGTTTCACTTGAAGGGTGGGGACATTTGTTGCCAAGGGTACTTTATCTGCGGGATATTCTCCCATTGCCAGCGGTGGGGAAGGCTGCTCGAATGACGAGTTCTTCAATGTCTCAGTGGGAACCAATCCTTCCCAGATTCAGCAATGTGAAGCAACCCTTCCACGTCCCTTCCCACCCCCCAAAGCTTCCAACATGTCAACGCAAACTTGCAAATCAACTTGTATCTTCCTGGCTCAAGGAGGCAGCCACATGTAAGACATCTACCCTGCCTTCCATGGGTTGGTGAGGTAAAACCGTGTTCAAAGTGAAGGCCTCAAAGGGGTCAAACCTGTTGGCTGGTGGGTATCTTCTTGGTGCTAACCGACGGCAACCAACTCCGTGCCCATGGACCGGCGGGTTTTCTTCTGACGGCACCAGTACGACCTACTGCACAGGGGATTGATCGGATGGCGAGAAGCCCGAGCCTCTGCCAAACACTGAGTTGCCGAAAGCAAAACCGTGGAGTTCGGATTGCTTCCACAATGTTGCTGTTGTTTTCGTATTTATTCTTATTGCGAGTATTTGTTGTTTAGCATTAGCAAAGTCATCTGCAACTGGTATGTTTCAGGGAATTCAAGCTTATGACTTTGACAAGCCCTGGAATTTGACTGAACGTTGGTCAGAACCCAACTGTTGCAATTAATGAGAGGGGTCCCTCTAAAAGTTGGTCGATGTTTCGGGAAAAGCAAGTTCATCGCTTCAGACTTGTAAACATCACTCGAGTCGAGTGTGCAAGGCTGGAGCCTGCCTCCATCTTTGGCTCACCTTCTTTCGATCAAGCCCCTGCACGTCCATTCCAAATCCAACTTGAACACTGTGAGCTGGCCGTGCCAGCTTCATGGAAACATTGTTCCACGTGGGTGTGGGTCAAAAACAGGCCTGGTAAATGGCAGCAAGCGCCAAATCCTGTGGTCCTGGTGGTTAAATTTCGACCCACACCCATGTGTGCACGCTCTGTCAATCAGCTGCGCGGTGCCAAGGAGACACAGAAGCTGGAAATGCACGGGGCAGCTGAGAGAAGCGGGCGTCCGCCCAGGCGGAAAAGAAGCATGCCAGGCGAGTTTTGACCTGGAAGACTCCATGGTTGCTCTGCTTTCCTACCAAGCCGAAGTCAAGATTGCCGTATCTGGAAAGAAAAAGCCGAGCTTATTCTGCTGGCTTTGGGAAGGAAGGCAGACTCAGAAGCAAACTTCAAGCAACGGAGCACACCTAGCCACTGGGCACACCTAGCTATCTCAAAATTGGGGACCCCAGCAAGGCTGGTTCTCAAGCCATCCAAAAAGGAGGTCCCCAATTTTCAGGAAATTCGGACCTGTCACCAGCTAGGCCTCCGACGCCTGCAGTACTCGTGCGAAACGACATGGAACTCACACATGTTGAGGCTTACCCCATTTCGGAGAATAAGCCCTAAATTGTCTGATTGTCCTATCGAAGGGAGGTACTTACCCCATGTTTGGGCTGCCGGAGTCAGAGCGAGCTCATTTCTTCTTACATAGATTTTGCAAGTTGGGAACTCAAACAAAAAGCCGTAACTCATCGTGGGCCTTGCGGTTTACTTTCAAGGTCGCCGTGCGCCAGCAATCTGCCAGAAGAACATTGGGCTGGGGATGGTCGTAATCTGGGAATTGGGATTCAACTCTGACGCCAACAACCAGCAGAGGATTCCCAGTTGCTATTTGGGCTGACACAAGCAGCCTTTGAAGCACCTGGCCCTACGTGCCCCAAACACAAACTGAACGGTACCAACCTATTTATTGGGGTATACAAGGGCATTGCGCAGGTGTACCTCCCGCAACCTCCCGCACATGAGCCCTTGCTTGCGCTGTGCACAGAGGCATCTTGGCTGCCAGGCGGGCGTGGCAGGTGCGACAGTGGAGGTGTTGTCCAGCCCTGGCCAGTTCGGGTAAACCTCCTGGTGACAGCTGACTTTTTCTGAAGCCAAGATGAAAGTCTCTGGGTCTGGATCGAGCAGCGCATTTTCCAGGGGCCAACATCGCGGAGCCTCAACCGGATGGCCAAAACCAGTGTCTGAAGCAGGTAAACACTAACTGTTCTTGAGCTGGGCTTGTCTCCAAATTGGACCCCAAGATGAGTCTCTCTTTGGGCGCTGCAACCAAAACTTGGGCTTCCCAGTGCCCACCACGTTTACAAGTCCACCGTGCCTCACCCATTTACGTTTCCACGGGCCTGCATCTGGAGTCTGCAGCTGCACCTAAGGCGGTCGAGGGCTGACTCCATTTTGGGCTCGCTCGAGGTCGATATGCAAAGAGCGCGCTGGTTCCATGCGCAACGCAGGCACTCGCGGGAAGGCAGGTTAATCATGTCGCCGGAGCAGGCGCTGGAAACACACCGCCCAAATACGGAGCAAAGTTATGAACACCAAAGGCAAGCTTGTGGGCTGTGGTGAGGACTTCGCGTGACACCCATTTCCCCATTCGCTCCCGGATCAAAGATGTCTCAGCGCCCAGCCGAAACAGTTGCTGCGAAAATGTCCAGCACTGGGTACATCCTGGCCGGCCGCAAGCTCCATTCGGATTTGGGGGTCCAAAGCAGACTTGTGAATCGAGCGCTCTTCCCAAATGAGATGAATAGGGTCGGCTTGTGCTGCATGGCAGCCGTATGACACCCAGGCAATTCAAACAGAATCTGGGAAGTGTCCAAAACTCGGGGGTTGCGGTTGCATGTTGTGGTTCGGGACCACATCTGAACGCTCCGCCCGCCTCCCCTTTTTCAGGGCCCAAGCTCACGGCCAGCTCTGGGTTGCTTGTTCAGCTTGCTCCACGCTGCGTTCAACCGCCAAACGGAACGCGGCAGTCAACTGGATCCACAGTCTTGCGAGCTTCTGGATCCGAAAATCGCGAGCAAGGTAGGCACCCTGGAAGGTCAGAAATGACATCGCTATACATAAAAAGGACGAACATCCGCTTTGAGCACATGTTCAGCGTGTTGTATAAAATTGCTGCACACAGTGCAAGCCGAAGGACATGCCGCATGGCGCCAGATCCGCAGAAACATAGAGGACATACCATTAACTTGGTGCAAATTCGCCATGTCCCTTCGTGCAAATGGGCACTTAAACTGTGAGGCGACCCCACAGACAAAGCTTCCAGTGCATCGCCAGCTCGGAAGACGTGGTGGCACTTTCACCTACAAGCGACACGAAAATGGCACATGTCCCCCCAAAGTTCTAAATTTGGGGACCCTTCTGGATGTTTGAAGGGAAGCCACAAGAAACCAGCCTGCTTTTGGACGGCATGACTTGAGTAATCATCAGCTGCATTTGGGGAGGCTGTGCAGTCTGCCCTTTCAGGGTTCCGTACTTCCCAAAAACCACCATGGCAGGCTCAGCCCCGCACCAGATAAGCCGGTTGTAGAGCTCTGTCCTCAGAAACGTCCACCTCCCTATGTGGCAAAACTGGCCAACGGAAAGTGTACAGCAAACCGCCAAATGCAGGCCTAGAGCATCCTCCTTCCCGTTCGTTGTGACGGCTTGAGAGTTATAGAAAGGGGAGTGGCCCAAGTGCTTTCATGGAGCGGAATGAAATTCTGCACAATTTAAAGGAGTTCACTCCAGATACTCTCATCTCTCCCAGGCCTTTGGGATGCTGGTTCCACAGCCCTGCCATGGCAATTCACCGCTGTGGTTGGCTGAAACTGGACCAAGGGAAATAACGCCATCCGCATGCCACCCGGTGGGGAGTTTCGGTGGCCAGACTTTATTTTCTGTGGGTTTCGTGTGGCTTTGGGTGGGCTTTGTGGGGATTTGTGTTGGTGTTGGCTGAGTTTTGTCAGGGTTTTGTAATGGGTGCGGATTTATTTTGGGATTTCTTTTTTCGTTTTTCGTCCGGGCCGTCGTATTTTACAGCATTTTCTCGCGAAATTGACGCATTTTACACTAGCCCGTCAACATCCCCAGCATCGTTTTCAACATCCCCCGCATGTCCGACCAACATCCCTAGCATCACCAACAAATCGTGGCTGGCGGGTTGACGGGGGTCGGTCCAAAAAATGATGATTCAAATAGGAGGGTATTTCAATCCCTGTAAAAAAAACTAAAAAGTAGCGGGGGGGTTGGGGGGGGGGGCGGCAGCCCACCCCGTGATGTTCGCAGAAGTGATGATTCGAATAGCTCTGCAAAAAGTCGCAAAAGTAGCGGGGGGGTTGGGGGGGGCAGCCCCCCCCATGATGTTCGAAGAAGTGATGATTCCAATAGGGGTGCAATTAAATCTCTGTAGAAAATCTAAAACGTAGCGGGGGGGTTGGGGGGGGGCTGCCGCCCCCCCATGATGTTCAAAGAAGTGATGATTCAAGTGGGGGTGCAATGATTCAAGAACGGGCGCGATAGAATGTAAAAGGCAGCAGGAGGTTGGCGGGGGTGGCTTCCCCTATAATGTTCGAAGAAGTGCATACATATAAACATGCATGGTTTGCACAGATTACCTAAAATATCGTACTTCGCAGCATTTTCCCGCGAAATTGGACGCTCGAAAAAGTGATGATTCAAATAGGGGTGCAATTCAATCTCTGCAAGAAATCTAGAAAGTAGCGGGGGGGTTGGGGGGGCGGCAGCCCCCCCCATCATGTTTGAAGAGGGTGCAATTACTCTGCAAACAATCTAAACAGTAGTGGGTGGGTTGGGGGGGGGGGGGCTTTTTTGCCATGACGTTCGAAGAAGTGATTCAAATAGGGCGGAACTGGTAATGCTGATGATGCGGGAAGCCAAATCCAAAAACCAATGAAAGGGTGCAAAAAACGAAAAGCCCAGAGAGGAACTGTGAAAGCAGAGGATGCGAAAAGCCAAAGCCGCCAAAAGCCGCATAACCGCCAGCTGCCGAAGAGGAACTGGGAATGCAGAGGATGCGAAAAGTCAAAGCCAAAAAGCCACCAAAAGCCGCATAAACCAACAAGAAGCCGAGAAGCCCAAAAGCCGAGAAGCCAAAAAGCCAAGAAGCCAAGAAGCTGAAAAGCCAAGAAGCCAAGAAGCCAAGAAGCCAAAAGCGAAAAACAAATCCCAAAAGAAAACGAAAAACATTCCTAAAATAAATACCCCTCCCATTTGGGTGGGTTTTGGGTGGGTTCAGTGGGTTCAGAGAAACCTCCCAAAACCCCCACCAAACCCACACAAAAGCCACCTGAAACCCACCCAATACCCACACAAAACCCTCGCAAAGCCCGCACGAAACCCAGAGAAGAAACCCAGCCAACACCCACACAAAACCCTCCCACAAATCCACACAATTCACAAAAACCCACAAAACCCACCAAACACCTCCACAATCCCACCCATTCCCGCACCAAACTCCCCGCGCAGCACCGGGGCAACCCGTTTGGCTTTTGGGTGGGTTCTACCCAAGCGCAGCAAACGTCGGCGGAATGAGCCTGAGGCTCTAAAGTTTCTTTCGCTGCGGCTACCATGATCAAGACTCTTTCTGTGTGTCATGGTCATTCCATTTGGATGAGCCTTACTTATAACTTATAACGGTTGTTTGAAGTACCTCATGGGTCCATGACCATTTCAAGGTGGGCGTTCTATGGCCCATCTGCACCACAAAGCGCGCCAGGGAGGCAGAACCGCCACCCATCTGGCCGCTCCCTTTGTGGCGATAGGACCTACCGAAGCATCCAACATGCACAGTTGAGTCAAAATCCATCAGCACTCAAATCTGGGAGGGCTGGCGCCGCAGGGCGGTGAAAACTGGCAGCGAAAAGGAGGCTGCGGCTTGGCAGTGCCCCATCCGATTTGGCCAGGAACGAAAGACCCGCCTTCGATGACAGGCATGGGTGGATTCCAGCCGGCAGCATCAAGGACCTGCGCGGAATTCCGGCCCTGAAATTCCGCAAAGCGCTGCAAGATTCGGTGGGGAAATGAGCGGTGACAGGCCGGTGCTACAGTGGCTTCAGGAAACAACAGCGGATGACAACCTGAAGTGTTGAACTGCCCACCCGACCAGACACATAAGGAGGTAGCTCTCCAAAGGCTCTCCCCAGATGGTTGCCACAAACACGACCAAGGCCAGCCAGCCTTGGTGTGACCTCTGATAGATCGGTCGACCAACCTGCGTATTTGAGGGGCGGCTGTAACGATGAGATGCATGTCTTGGCTGCCTCACTAAAACGCATGCTTCAAATTCTTTCACGTTTTTCTCCAATCTCATGTTATCAGGCGATATCAGGAGTTTCCTGTTGGAGTCTTGGAGTGCAGCTCAACTCGACCTGCCAATGAGTCAATACCTTAAGACCTTTATCGAGCGGCGACTGGGCATTCTGGCGCCTCTATCATTTGCCGGCAAGTTCTCACTCACGATCAGCCTTAAGATCTGGTCAATCACGCGAATGAGCCACACCGTTCGCAGTAGCCGAGGTTTTGTATGGGATCAAATTGGAATCCAATCTAACCTTCGATCCTGAGTCAAATACTTCAACTGATTGCAACTTGATGATAACATGCACATGTTACGTGTAATTGCAAGAATTCAAAGGCACACACGCGAATGCATGTGGCAACACAAGTGCTAACTCTCTTGCCAGGTAACAGAGAAAATGAACAAATTGATGCACAAATGAAAGGGTTGTTTATGGTTTGTTGGTCAAAGCAGCACTGTGTAAAGAAGTGGGTCCACTAAAGCGCCATCCTCAGATTACCCGCAAATTACCCTCTAAACCGTGAATCACAGGTAGCACCCCCCAAGAAACAATTGATACACTCTGAACATGTGCACATTGTTGGGGCCATTCGTTTCCCAGTTGCCCTCGTCCTGGCCTGAGTGCTGCCGGGTTCTGCCTCACTGCTGCCTCAAGCATGCGGTCTCGGTGCTCTCGCGAGTTCAAGGACTGTTCCAAGGGTCAATGAAGGGGCAAGCAACACAAATGACAAAGACAAAAGAACCCCCGCAAAGAAACGAGACAAACAAATCATAGGTAGGGTGGAGGACCCTGGGAGGTCTGTCAAACCAGCCGAACACGCAAGATTCCCAGAATACACATCAACAACTTACTAACTTGGCAACGAACATCCAAGTACCATGCGGGATAACACAAGCAACCGAAAGGGGAGTCCACCGAAGATGGGTATTGGTACCTCTTCTGCAGCTGTCGTCAAGGGAAACCCAATTGGACACCGAAGCTCCATCCTCCTTAGGGAGATGTTACACATGGGATGGTACAGGCGGCAACGCAGAAGTCTTGGGGTTGGACCATCCCCCAACCTGCACCGGTCGGGCAGGGGGGGGGGGGGGGACTGCAATGGTAGCGGGTTGAGCTGAGGCCGGCACAGATGCTATTGACAGATCGGACTGAAGAGCGGAATCTGCAAATTGCAGATTCAGCCCCATCCTCAGAGCTCTGGGTAGAGACAAGACCAGCCTTCAAGCCTCCTGCGGGGACAAAGCCTCAGCCTGAAACCTAACACGGGAATTTATTAAAGTAAACTAGGCACCTCAAGATCCAACCGCTTGCATAGTGGTTGCCTCCCAAAATTGGACGAGGCTTGGCTTGATTTGGCTCCTCTCAAAATAAGCCGCGCACGCCGACACGGCAGCAAGCACAACCTGCCAGCCACTACTGTGACGGATTGGTTGTTCAGGGGCTCAAGCTTTGGATGCAAACCTGCGCGAAGCAATATAATGCACTACGGCATACCACGACGACGACGACAACGACGACAACCACAACCACAACCACAATCACAACCACAACAGCAGCAGCAGGCGCAGCAGCGGCAACAGCAACAGCAACAGCAACAGCAACAAGAACAGCAACTGCAACAGCAACAGCAACAGCAACAGCAACAGCAACAGCAACAGCAACGGCAACGGCAACAGCAACAGTAACAGCAGCAGCAACGGCAACAGCAACGGCAACAACAACAGCAACAGCAACAGCAACAGCAGCAACAGCAACAACAGCAACAACAGCAACAGCAACAGCAACAGCAACAGCAACAGCAACAGCAGCAGCAGCAGCAGCAGCAGCAGCAGCAGCAACAGCAACAGCAACAGCAGCAGCAACAGCAACAGCAACAGCAACAGCAACAGCAACAGCAACAGCAACAGCAACAGCAACAGCAACAGCACAGCAACAACAACAACAACAACAACAACAACAACAACAACAACAACAACAACAACAACAACAACAACAACAACAACAACAACAACAACAAAAACAAACAAAAAGGGGTAAAAAAAAAAAAAAACGCAGCAGCAGCAGCAGCAGCAGCAGCCGAAACGAAAACACCATGTTCACGATCACAATCGCGACGCCGACGACGCCGCCGCCGACGACGACGACCACCAACTGCTCAAACAAAACATACTGATGTCCCCTTCTTCAGCAACGCGTTAGCGTTCTTTCCACATTCCCTCGGGCACCTCGCGATCTCCACGCAGCTTGGGGCTGGCATTGCGGAAGATCTCCCCATTGTAGCGGTCCTCTGGAGCACGAACGACACGTTCGCGGCGAGTGAAAGGCGACCGGGCCCCTTCGATGTTTCTGCTTTGTCGTTTCAAAGGTTCAAGAGTTGTATCCAGGACGCACCCGTCCGAACTTGAGGGTCTTACAGGAGAAGGAAGGTGCTAATCTTGGGGCGCCACTTTGAAGATGCAACTCTGCATCTTTGTCGTTGGCTGTCTGTCTCTGTCTCTCACGTGTCTCAATGCAAGCCAACCCCTGACAACGGTTCCTTCTGCACTGCCATCAGCATGACCTCGCGATCTTCTTGTAGCTCTGGCGCTGCCAAACAAATGGCTTGGCAGTTTTGCTTCACTGCCGCCAGCACCTGCAACTCCGACTGTGTGACGAGCTGGCTGACACATCGATACAGCGATGGTGCTTTTGAGAGGTCAATTTGTCAAACTTACTGCATTGCGAAAGACGCAGGAGCCTTCTTCCATGCCCTTGTATGAGTGCTTGGGAACCTGGATTTAGCTCGTTTATGTTGTGTTCTTGAGCAAATTTCGCTATCGGCTTTGCAACCTCCACCTAACCAAGGACAACTTCCCGCATCACAAAGCATTGCTTCGATCTGATAACAGCTTACTGAAAGCGGCTGAGCGCTGGACCACCTCTCTGTCCTTTCTAAGCTCATCGGAGACGAGCTTCAGAATCATTCCTTGGTTTGAGGCCATTGGCATCTCCACCGAAGGAAAGATATGCGGCTTCCCGGTTGCAACTGAAGCGCTCCCAAACTCGAAAAAACGGTGCCCGAGTTTGGGCTTGAGTGCTTTGAAGGTCGAAGCCAAGTGACCACTCTGCTTTGCTGCTGTGAGCACCACCTGGTTCATAAGAGATGCCCCTTCCAGCCAAGACCCCAATGAGCACAGATGAATAAACCCGATGATTGCTAGAGGGCTGTTCCATAGTAATAGAAAGAATCCTTCACTCTGAGAACAAACGCCGGGTCTCTTCGGCTGGCAGTCTTTCTGGGGGGTCTGGGCCAACATTTCTCAACACTTGCCTGCCTGTCGGTCTTCGAGAAAATGCGGAGCTGCGTGCTGCAAGCACTGAGCATTGCGGCCTGGGTGGCAATGATCTGCCGGCACGATTCTTGAAATCCAAAGGGCCACACGCACCGACTCCAAGACAACGATGCGATCCTGACAGGAAGCATGTCAATCACAAGTGGATGACGACAAGCATGATCCCTAAACGGGGGGAGCCCACCAAATGGACAGCTTGCATTTGGTGTCCCTGTAACCGGCCAAACACCATAGCCTCAACAATAAGCACACTCACATCTGGCTATGAATTGCTAATTGGGAGCACCCTCAAACGTGCTTGGAGGACATAATCTTCCAAATGATGCCCACCAAAGGGTCCGTTTCCAATCAGCAGCGCCAAAAAACAACCTGGTTGAGGGTTTACCTAGGCCTCTCTAGTAGCCCAATGAAACCAAGTAGAACACCACACCAGGATGGCGGGCCTGTTCAATTAGGATGCAATCCATCTGCGTGAGCCACATTTTTGGGCTGGTCAGATCTCTCGCGCTCCTCTGCTGCATCCTGACCATGATCACGAAAGACTTTCAGCACCTCGGGCCACCGAGAACATCCTCTTCAGCCTTCTGATTCATGTTTCGTGAACCGTACAATGCAACATCATATCAAAAGAGATCCCGGACATTATTGCAGCTATTGTCTAACTTGTCCAAAGGAGCTGGAAATGAAAGATCTGGGCCACTGATAACCATCCCATCTGAGATAAGACATGCCCCAAGACTCCAAGAAAGGAACTACAACCAAACCAACCCCTTTGTGAGATCGCGAGACGGACCGGAAAGTGTCCGAGTCCAAGCCAAACCCACTGCAACAGTCGATCCGGGTGGAACAAGTGCTGGATGCCACAGTGGTTGCCCCAACACAAAAACGGCTTTTCAGCCGGAGGTGCACTGACTATCCCGATTCATAGACCTATTTGAAATCAACACACTGGTCCACTTGAAAATCACGCGGCCATGGTGCACCGTGATTTGAAAAACAGGGTGTCCTAAAATGGGAGAACATGGGAGAGCCCTGAAAAAAAGGCTTGCTTGATTTAGGCGTCCCGCCAACCACTTTTCAAATGGTTCCCCATCAAAACTCATCGCCAACTCGGAAGTCTCAGGCGTGGGCTGCCTCTCCTCCTCTGACGCTGCTGAGCTCGGCCAGGATCTCTGCCTTGGAATCTTGGGGCTACTCATTGCGGCCCTGGTCCTCTAAGGTTCTAAGATTTCCTTCCTGGGTTGCGGGGGGTTGCGGGGGGGGTCTTTGGATGCTTCCTGCGTCTTAGATTGGTTGGACCCTTTGGTCATCAAGCACATGGGGATCTATGTCCAGCAGCCAGGTTAGAAGGGGATATTCAGAGAAACAATCGAAACTGCTTTTTTGTGACCACTTTGGATCTCCAAAGGCAATCGACACATTCAAGATACGGTGGATCCGCAGAATGTTGGAAGTGGTTCGACCACATCCAAGCACAAATTCTGGCAAAGTATGCGGTATCCCTCCATCAAATCCGATTTGAGCATACCGTCTGCAAAGGGCCACCGGGCCTGTTTCGGCGGCCGCCGTAGTAGCAGTAACGATGCCTCAGCGGTCCGTGGCAGGTGGGCCGCAATCCTCTGATCCTCACTACCTGACTCGATTCTTAGCTGGGGCAGGAAAAGTACCGTCTTGTCTCCAGCTGAAAGCTATGGGCACGCCCAACTAAGCTCCGGAGTTGATGGCAGCTCCGAGGCTCCAGAGACTTCCGGAGAGGAACGGAAGGTTCCAAGGGGGTCCGAGGTGACAAGCGCAGTTCGGAATACCATCTGTGTTTGCAAACCACCGAAATGGTGCCAAAACCCATTGAAGTGACTTCTGGTTCTACCAAAGTCGCTATAAAGGCTTTTGTAGGCCTTACAATCATCCCCGTTAAGCCTGACAGGGCTGCTCAAGTTGAGTTCCTCCAGACCCGAGGTCGCTCCAAAATCGGCAGCCTTGATGAAGTTGAAGGCCAAACTTCCAGAACATGGAGTCAGACCTTTAAGTTGGCAAATCCTAACGGCCCAGTCTGGGGCTGTAAATGGGGGTCTCCAATCCTAGTTCGTAATTCCGCGGTGGGGCACCAATGAATACAAAGGAAGTCACTACCATCCGAGACTGCAGCCCGAGGTAGATCAACACATGGCAGCCTCCCATTGTGAGCGGCCCGCCTCCAGAAGACAACTGAGCTGCAAGCTCTGAATGATTGGCATAAGGGTTGATGATTGGAGTTGAACAGCTTAGACAGATTTGACCCCCTTGGGAGATTGTAAGGGTATCCAGTAAGTTGAGCCCAAGCAGGTCAACGGCAAAGTGGCCCCTGCCGAAAGGGCCCGGACTTTGAGCACGTTGCATAGATTGACCTGGCGCGGTCGCATGTGCTTTGGCAGGGAAAGGCGAGCCGTCGCCACTGTGGCTGCCTGATCCTCTTGAACCAACAGATTAAGCACACAGTTCCTCGCTTGCAAAACCTTCCACCTGTTGGAAAGAGGGTACACAAACCAGCGGCTGATCTTCGCTCAACAGGTCACCCCATCAGGATCTCACCTCATAGCCCAGCGACCCGGTGGATTGATGCAACGATGAAACAGCTGGTGTTGCAACCCTGACCCCTGATGAAGCAAAAACAATCCACCAAATATCATTCCGGACTCAGGTTCCAGTGGGGAGCTTCCGGCCTTGGAATGTCATCCTGTCGGCCCACTTTGCAACAAATCCCCCAAGCTCGGGGGTCCCTTGCTCGAGAGTGCCCCATTTTAGCGCATTTTAGAAATCTTAAGCATAGATACCTGCATGAATAACTTGCCTACCTACAGTACCATGTCCTTACATACATCTCCTGGTAGCCCCTTCGCTCCCTCTTTAAAAGCAAATTTGGATTCCCCCGGCTCCTTGGCTCCCCAACCACCAGCCAGCTACATGCCCTGCAAACTTTGGAATCTTTGCAGGCAAGTTGTCTGCAATGGAGCCGCGCCCAGCGCCGCAGCAAAAAGACTCTACCCTTTCTCCAATGGAGGACTGACTCCGTGGTGAACTTCGAGATACGCGGTACAAGCTTCAGCACTTTTCTAACAGCCGCTCTATAGTCCGTAATTGAAACTGTCCACAGTTTCTGGAGTAGATCCATTAAACACAAAAGTGCGTTGTGTGTTGCGTGCTGCGCAATACGCCATTGCGCGCTGCATGTTGTGTGTCGTGTTGCGTGTTGTGAGCTGTGAGCTGCGTATGGTGTGTGGTGGGTGTGGGGTGTGTGGGGTGTGGTGTGTGGTGTGTGTGTGGGGGTGTGTGGGTGTGTGGTTGTGTGGTGTGTGGGTGTGTGGATGTGTCGGTGTGTGAGTGTGTGGGCGGTGTGTCTGTGTGTGTGTGCGTGGGTGCGGGCGGGTGTGCGTGTGTGCGGGTGTGTGCCTGTGTGTGTGTGTGCGGGTGTGTGTGCGTGTGCGTGCGCGTGGCGTGCGCGCGTTAGTCGCTGTTGGCGCTCAGCGCCGCCGCGCGCCGCGCGGCGCGGCGCAGCGGGGCGCTGGGGCGCGGGCGCGGGGGGCGTGGGGCTGGGGCGCGGGGCGCGGGGCGCTGGGCGCGGGGCGCGGGGCGCGCGGCGCGGCGGGCGCGGCGGCGCGGCGGCGCGGCGGCGCGCGGCGCGCGGCGGCGCGCGCGGGCGCGCCGGGGCGTTTGCGACTTGGCGCTGGAGGTCCAGCAAGGCGAAGCGGCGCGCGCGCCAGTACTGGCGCTGGGGGCGCGGGGCGCGCGCGGGGGCGTTGCTGGGGGCGCGCGGGGGCGCGCCGGGGGCGGGGGTGCGCGCGGGGGCGCGGCGGGCGCGCGCGGGGCGCGCTGGGGGCGCGCGGGGCGCGGGGCGCGGCGCGCGGGGGCGCGCGGGGCGCTATGGGGCGCGCGCGGGGGCGCTGGGAAAGCGCGCGGGGGCGCTGGCTGGGGGCCTGGCGCCAGGGCGCGGGGGCGCGGGGGCGCGCTGGGGCGCGTGCGTTGGGGCGCGCGGGGCGCGCGGGGGCGCCGGGGCGCTGGGGCGTCGGGGCGCGCCGGGGCGCTCGGGCGCGCGTCGGGGGAGGTCGGGGGCGCTGCCGTGGGGGGGCCGCCCCGGCCTGAGGCGTCCTCTGAGGGGACCGGGGCGTCGCCTGGGGCGCGCGGGGCGTCACGCGGCCGGGGCGCTGGGGCTGTTGCTGGGCCATGGGTGCTACGCCGGGGCGCCGAAGCGCGGGCCGCCACCGGGGCCGCCGGGGCGCGCTGGGGCGCTGGGGCTGGGGCGCCGGGGCGCCGGGGCTGGCGGCGGGGGCGCCGCCGAACACGCCGGGGGCGTCAGGGGGCGCCGGGGCGCCAGGGGGCTGAAAAGGCACCGGGGCGCGGGGGGCGCTGCGGGGGCGCGCCGGGCTGCCATGGCGCGCCAGCGGGGGTTGCGCGGCCGCTACGGGCGTTGCCGGCCAGAAGGCATGGGGCGCCGCGATGGGCCGCCGGCTGGGGCCGCATGCTGGGGGCGCCGCCGGGCGCCGTCACGCGCCGAAGACAGGGGCCGCCACGCCGGGCCGCCGGCCACAGGGAAGGCCGCGCCGAAGCGCGCTGCCATGGGGCTGCCGCCGGGGCGGGGGCGCGCGGCGCGGCAAAGTTACGCGTGGGGCGCTGGGGGCGCGTTGCCGTGCCGCGCCGTGCCGTTGCGTCGCGTTGCAAGGCGCGCAGCAGCAGTGGCGCGCGGCGTGGTGGCGATGGTCGGCGGGTCGGGCGGGCTGGAGGCCGTCGGCACGGCGGTCGGGCGGTCGGCGGTCGGGCGGCCGGCGGCCGCAGCCGAGCGGGGCTGGCGGGCGGGCGGGCGAAGGGCGGCGGCGGCGTGGCGGCGGGCGGGCGGCGGCGGCGGGCGGCGGCGGGCGGGCGCAGCGGCGGGCGGCATGTGGCGGCGGCGGGCGGGAGTGGCGGCGGGGTGGCGGGCGGCGGCGGCGGGCGGGCGGCGGGCGGGCGGGCGGGCGGGCGGGCGGGCGGCGTATGGCGGCATGGCGGTATGGGCGGCGGGCGGGGGCGGGTGGCGGCGGTGGCATGCAGGGGCGGTATGGCATGGCGGTGGCACATGGTATGGCGGCGGCGGGCGGCAGCGCGCGGCGGCAGGGGCGTATGGGCGCGGCAGGCGCAGCGCACATATAGCGCAGCGCAAGGGCGTGGCGTATGGGCTATGAGTGCATGGGCTGCGTGAGCGCGGGCGCGCGTGGCTGCATATGCATGTGTGTGTGTGTGTGTGTGTGTGTGGGTGTGGGTGTGGGTGTGTGGGTGTGGGTGTGGGTGTGGGTGTGGGTGTGTGTGGTGCAGTGTGTGTGGGTGTGTGGGTGGGTGGTGGTGTGGGTGTGGGTGTGGTGGGTGTGGGTGTGGGGTGGGTGTGTGTGGGTGTGGGTGTGGGTGTGGGTGTGTGTGTGTGTGTGTGTGTGTGTGTGTGTATGTGCGTGTAAGTGTGTGTGTGTGTGGCGGGCGGGCAAGGGCGGCGGCAGGTAAGGGGTGGCGGCGGGTGGGCGGGGCGGGCGGTGGGCGGCGGCAGGCGGCGGCGGGCGGCCCAGTGTGGCGCGCTGGTGCGTGTACGCAGGCGTACGGCAGGTAAAAGGCAGGCCAGGCCAGGCAGTACGCAGGTGTCGGCGTGTACGCGGTCCGCGCAGGTACGCCGCAGGTGGCGCGCTATGCCGCCAGGGAGGCGTCCAGGCAAGGCAGGTTGGCAGGCCAGCACAGCAGCGCCGCAGGCTGCAGGCGTGCGCGCAGGCGTGCAAGATCAACGCAGGCGTAAAGGCAGGTGTATCGCCGCATGGCACATGCGCAAGCGTGCTACAGCGCGCGCACGGAGATGCGCGTGGTGGAAGTGGCAGTGGCGCGCGGTGGTGGCAGGTACGCAGGTGGCAGGCCAGGTGGTGTGTGTGTGGCAGGCAGGTGGTACGGCAGGGCAAGAGGCTGGGCATACACTGCGGCATTCCAGGCCGCATGCGCGGCTACGCGCACGGCATGGGTGTGCGCGCGACGCACGCTACGGCGTGGCTGGCTGGATAGCCTGGACGCGCGCCGCGGCGGCGGCGGGCACTGGCGTGGCGCGCGCAGCAGCGCCATGCGCCGCATGGGCGCCGCACGCGGCACGCGCGCCGGCGTGTGTGCGCGCGCATGTGGCCGCAGCGGCACGTGGTTTGCGGCAGGTGACGTGGCAGGCGGCACAGAGCAACATACGCCGCCATCCGTCCGTGTGTGCGCGGGCGCGCGCCGCATGCCCATGATGCAACCAGGTGCGTGCGTGCGCGCGCTGTGCGTGCGCGTGTGTTTGCGTGAAGGCGTGCATGCGTGCGTGCGTGCGTGGGTGCGTGGGTGCGTGAGTGCATGGGCGCGTGGGTGTGTGTGTGTGTGTGTGCGTGCGTGTGTGTGTGTGTGTGTGTGTGTGTGTGTGTGTGGGTGTGGGTGGGTGTGTGGGTGTGTGTGTGTGTGTGTGTGCGTGCGTGCGTGCGTGCAGCGTGTGCGCGTGCAGCGTGTGCGCGTGCGTGTGTGACTGTGCGTGTGCGCGCGTGTGCGTGCGCGTGCGCGTGCCCGTGCGCGTGCGCGTGCGCGTGCGCGTGCGCGTGCGCGTATACGAAGAAGCGCGAGCGCGCGCGCGTGCGCGCACGTATGTGTGTGCGCGTGTGCGTGTGTGTGTGTGTGTGTGTGTGTGCGTGTGCGTGTGCATGTGCGTGTGGGTGTGGGTGTGGGTGTGGGCGTGGGTGTATGGGTGTGTGTGGTGTGTGTGTGTGTGTGTGTGTGTGTGTGCGCGCGTGTGTGTGTGGGCGCAAGTGTAAGTGTGTACAGTGTATGTGTGTGTGTGTGTGTGTCTGTATGTGTGTGTGTGTGTGTGTGTGTGGGTGTGCGTGTGCGTGAGCGTGTGCGTGCGCGTGCGCGTGCCGGTGGGTGTGTGTCTGCGTGTCTGCGTGTCTGCGTGTCTGCGTGTCTGTGTGTCTGTGTGTCTGTGTGTCTGTGTCTCTGTGTCTCTGGTGTGTGTGCGCGTGCGCGTGGACGTGTGTGTGCGTGTGCGTGGCTGTGCGTGTGCATGCGCGTGTGGGTGTGTGTGTGTGTGTGTGCATCTTCTTGGAGATTGACCTTTGGGGCTCTTAAAAAAGGGATGTCCTTTGATAGTGCAACTGCTTTTTTCGTGGGGAGCCTTTGAACGACATGCGACATATTTCATAGGATTCAACCCCACCCTCCGTCACCGCGTGGTCTCTCCTCCAGATTAGGCCTTAAGACGTTGTTAAGGGGAACAGGGAAAGGGATGGCTTGAATCATGTGGAGACAAACCACAGTCCGCCACTCCCGCGAGAAACGACGCTGTGCCTCTGCCTTCGGCAGTTCAGGCCTCGGGACCCGCACGGGTTCAGTATGTTGGCTTGCCCCGCAAAATCCCCCCCAGGTGTTGGATGAGGGCCAAAAACCTGCGCACCCGCTCAGGTTTCTTCGAGGCCGGCGCTGGTCCAAGATCAGGTCCACTGTGCTGAGTGCTGCGTTCTGGGCTGCGGGGGCATTTTGGCAGGGTTCCCTATCAAGGACTTGACCCGGTTTTGGCAGAGGGGATCAACAATCTGGGAACAATCCGCGTTTGGAACCCATGCAAAGAGCCAAATCTTGACTTTCGACCTCTGGAGCTTGCGCTTTTCACGTGCACAAAGGCTGCTACGGCGGGTGTAGAGAAAATGAACGGATGAGCAAACAAAGCAGGGAGAAAAGGTGTTGTTGATAGGCAGCACAAACACGAAGCCAAAACCAACTTGAGTTGTTTGGGTAGGGGTAGGTGGGTGGAGGAAGTCAACAGAAAATGGGTGCTGCTTCCCGACTGAGATCCTTAGCATGGGTTTTGTTTCGGTCTCCTTTGGTTAGCCAACAGGGTGCTCCAGATCATACGCAGCCGTATCAAATCACACACACACACACATACCACAAGCGACTTTGCCCTGTTTTGAACAGAAATGGTCATTCCGGTCCTGCCGGGCACAAACTGGGTGCCCTGCGTCCTTGGACAATTCCGCACTATCCTTTGCAAAAAGTCGCTGATCATCGACCTCAATGCCCGTCCTCAGTTCAAAACCCAGCCGTGGAAAGGAGCAGCTCTCTGGAAGCTGGCGAGTGGGCAACCGACCGGACAGAAAGGGACTAAAAGGATGCCACCAAGGAATTGGTGCCAGGAACCGAAGCAACTGAAGCAGCAAAGAAGAGCGACTCGCGTGCAACAGGAACATATGTGAGCCACGGTCAATGCATTCTGTGCCCCAATGCCCTTTGTGAGTAACCTCCAATTCCTCAGGCAATTTGGGCGAGTGTGCCCAATTGCCTGACACTCGCCCAATTGCCTGAACTACAAATGGCGAATGTTGAGAGTTGCTGTCCAGCGCTCCGAGCCCACCGCTGGGTTCTGATCTCTTCTTTGACCTCACGCGAATCTTCCCAGAGTCCCCTTGTCTGCGAGCCGCGCTCCCCTTGCCTCACGAATGAGACTCGCAGGAGTTGCTTTGACCTCAAGGCGAAAGACGGGGGCATGGCGCCAAATTAACGACGGGAATAGTACTGGGGGGGTTGGAGTTTGCTCTTGGGGTTGCTTTAAAGTAAAGTCAAACCAGAAGGAAACCCATGCATTTTGGGGGTCCGATTCCTCATTTTGACGGCACTCACCGGATTCACCCTCCAATCTACTCGCAGGATCCATCGGAATTGCAACTTTTGAAGGCCCACAAACTAGTCGGACATTCACAAGCCAAGGACTTGTTCTCGTGCTCAAAATCCCAAGCCTTGTCCAAACAGCAGTTGCGGGTGTTGGGGCACTACCCCTTTTGAGGCCATTTCACACGATCGAGGCCCACACCACACACAAAGCCCCCGGAAGGCCCAGAATCGTGAGCTCAATCTCGCTTGCTTTGACCTTCAGCTTCTTGCACCTGAAGGTACGGCCAAATTTGGGCTCCTCAAATAGACTACCGAAAATGTGTGATTTCCTTTGAAATCCATTTGAAGCCAATGGTTTCCTTTTGGCTTCAATTTACCATCCAGAAAGGGGCCCCTGAAGAAGCGACACACCTTGGGCCTGACATTGCCTGGTTGATGTGCATGGTACGCATGCAATGCAGAGGTACCCCCAAATGGCTGAACATAGCAGCTTCCATGGAAATCAGTGCTTGTCTCTCGGGCTTCTGCGTTTCCTCCAATTTCGGGCCCCTCAAATCGGCCTTCGGATTTTTGCTGTCCCGTGATCAACCGAATCCAAATCCTTGCGCCTCCGAGGTCGCAGGTGGCCATCCATAGCGGTCGCCTGCTGGCGGTCTCGATCCGGAACCTCTGGGCCATGGATCGGGGTTTTTAGGTCTGCGTCGATGGGATTCGACTGGAAACGACTTACGGAAAAGTTTTGAGACCAGAGAGGCATGGCGGCAGGGAACCTCTTGCTAGGGCCAGAATTAGAATGGGAGCGTGGGGAATGTAAAACCAAAATCAGCCATGATCATAGGAGGACGATGTGCACATGTTTGTGCAGGCCCAATATGTTGTGCTTTGCTAACCAAAGACGCCAGGTCTTGATGATGACAAGAGGGGAAAAGGCCGAAAGACCATGACCCCAAAAGGTATATTCTTCTGCTTGCGGGCTCTGAAAGGTGAAGCCAAGCAAAAACCAGCCAGAGGAGGTCCGATTAATTTAGAAAGCTACATCGGAATTTGGCAAGCACTCAAAGCGTCGAAGGATCATCGCCCAATGCATTCTCTCGTGCTAATTCTGACACTGGCATCTCGAACGCTTCACTGGACGCTACTGGTTGCTCGGTGAATCCAGTCTAGCAATGGCACAACATGGCTCCTTTTCGCGTGGAGTCTCCAGCCCGGCGCGGTCACCAAATTTAAATACCAAACGCATCAGGCCGGAAAGTCTTTGCGTCTTGCACTGTCGGAGACTTGATTGCCGGAGGGGTGCCCAATCTAAGCTTCTCAGCGATGACACACTTGCCAGTAACCTGGAGAACGGCATTTTCTCGGCTGGCTACAACCCCACTCTCATAGCTCGTCATGGCTACGCCAAAACCAGCTCAACCCAAGCCCTCGACCCTCCTTTCAGCCAACCCAGCCAACCCAACCAACCCGCAAGCACACCTCACCCTCAAATCCCGAAGGACTCCCGGCCTGGCGGACTAGACAGCCCAAATACAACGAGCTGTTCTCTGAGCCAAAGGCCCGCTAGCTCGGGCGCGAAACGCATCGCGGGTGAAGGTGTTTCCTCGTTTCGGTCTAAACGGTCGTCTCGGTTTTTTGCACTGATGTCCGTCTCGTGGCGAGTCCCGAGTGATTTGTCGATCATGAATGATTGATTGATTGATTGAATGAATGAATGAATGAATGAATGAATGAATGAATGAATGAATGAATGAATGAATGAATGAATGAATGAATGAATGAATGAATGAATGAATGAATGAATGAATGAATGAATGAATGAATGAATGAATGAATGAATGAATGATTCAATGATTGAATGATTGATTCAATGATTGAATGATTGAATGATTGAATGATTGAATGGTTGAATGATTACATTATTGACTGGTTGGTTGATTGGTTGGTTGGTTGGGTGGGTGGGCGGGCGGGCGGGTAGGTGACTCCCTGACTGACTGGATGGCTGAGCGAGCAGCAAGCAAGCGAGGGAGTGAATGCGGTGAGGTGATGCGAGGTGAGGCGAGGTGAGGCGAGGCGAGGTAAGATGAGGCGAGGTGAGTGAGTGGAGTGAGTGAGTGGAGTGAGAGTGTGTAGTGGAGTAGAGTTGAGTGGAGTGGAGTGGCATGGAGCGCAGTGGCGTGGCGCGGAGTGGAGTGCAGTACAGTGGTGTGGAGTGGCGCGGCGCGCAGTGAGTGGAGTGGAGTGGAGTGGAGTGGAGTGGAGTGGAGTGGAGTAGAGCGGAGCGGCGTGGAGTCGCCATGCCCGGGCTTGCTTCATTTCCGATTGGAGAGCTCAGTAGTGCTTCGTCAAACTGAGAAACCAAAAAAATACACAATCCTCACATTTGGAAAGGCTCAAGCTTCCTTGCCCCTTCTAAACCTCAAAGAAAACTTACCCCTATGCCCACAAGGTGAGATGAACAAACTAAACCCGAGGACATGTTTGAGGACACCTGGCACAAGCGAGCCGTGCAGGGCTGCAGGTCCGGCGTGATCGTCACTGCTCCTGGGAGATCCGCCACCGACCCGCAGCTTTGGCAGAGCCTTTCACCGTTTTGGAAAATCAAGGGACTTGATGTAGACTTTAACATCGTCTGAAAGGTCTCTGAAAACATGATCTACCCTTAGCCCTCCCAGATGGATATACACACATACATTATATATACAATCTAATCCTAGCCTTTGAAACCGGAGGAAAAGGGGGGCGGGGGGCGAGCGTTCCCGGCCTTCCACCAGAGCCACGGAGACTTGATCCACGAAGACCCTCAAGTCCTGGCCGCAGAAGCCGCCAATCGCCGCCAAGCAAAGCCCGAGCATCGATGCTGGAAAACCAAAGCCCTCCTTTCAATGGCCACGAATAAGCTTCATCCTTCCGAACTGGGCAAGCTATTTGAGTACTAGCAACCTTTGAACGGCCGAACCAATGGTTCCTGACCCAAGGCGTTAAAGGGGAGCACGTCAGAAACACATCTTCGGAGCCCCTCGAGTTGCGTCAAGACACACCTCGCACCCGGTCCCCAGAGTCGCTGATGAGGAGCCCGACGATGCTGCCGGGGGCCACCGCGTCAGATCGCCTCAGCCGGCGAAAATTGACCGACTCCCTGAACAAATAACGTGAAAGCAAAAACTCTAATTTGTTTGGAAGAATCTCTCTTTTTTTAGGTTCCTGGTGAAAAAATGGGAGGAAATTTGTTGGAAAGAAGGAAGCCTTTGGTAAAGAACCTTGAGCTCGTTTTACCCCCGGATGAGCTCATCATAATTTGCTTGCAGCATTCAGTGCGACTGAGTTGGCTGTCCTTGACCCTTAACATTGCCCCCTCTTGATTTGCGTATGTTGCGCATACGCAAGGACAACCCATCGTAGCCCAATGGTAAATAGTAGCGAGTGACTAAGAGGCGCCAAAAAGGACCATTAAGGCCATAGACTTCCTATGGCTCCCCTTGCTATGGCTCCCCTTGCTATGGCTCCCCTTGCTATGGCTCTGAATCACAATTGGAATGGTCTTCCCTTGCCATGGCATGCAAAAGTCCGACTGCAACAAGGACAACGGCGTGCTCATATGCCCAGCTAGGAGTAAAAGTGTATAGCTTTGACGGGGCCGTCGAACAAACAATTACTCCAAATGCAAACCGCCATGGACGTGTCCAGTGTGCAAGGGTATTTTCACGAAAAGATGCTTGAAGGTACAGGGCGCATATCCCCCCTCCAGATAGAAGAGAATGGAGGCCGATGGATGTATCATAATTCATTCATATGTATGCATAGTATAAATGTGTACATCTATACCTTAATAGCTACCACTGATTGGGAATCTTTGCTTTATGCCTGAAGCATGCATACAGAATGCTTCGGGGCTTGCCCACTATTCTCTTGCGCTGCTTTCCCTAGCCGAGGTCGGAACCAGCCCGTCTTCTGTTCCTTTCCTTCAATGAAAGCACAGCCTCGCAGCACGGCTTCCGCAAGGCGCTGTGTCTTCTGAGGGTACCCTTGCGAGTGTTTCTGCGTTGCCTCTGGAATCCAAAGGGACACTGCGGGGGAGGGTCCCAATAAGCAAAAAGGACTGCTGGCGAATCTGATTTGTATGGTGTGTCCCAACCTGAAATGGGCTGGTTCTCTCTTACTTCCCTCACAAATCATCTCAAGGGTCACCCGGTTTGACCGAGATACGCAATGTATCTGATCCCGCTCGTTAACGAAGGTCCACGGTCAAACACCTCCAGCAGCCAACACGACTCCAACACAGCGTACGAGAAACAGCTGAAATCATGCGCTTCCTTTTGGAAAATTGGATGGCTTTGCTGACGACTGGCAAATGACTAGGATCAAACTAAAAACTGCGACGCCTAGGCTGAACTGCCGGGGGAAGAGGGGGCTAAATCATCCACCTGAACATCACCCTGCAAATGGCGGTTTCTTTGTAGTGTGGTGAAAAAAGTAGTATTTGAAGCGGCCTATGAGGTCCAATGAGCAGAATTGTCCAGCACCAGCAATTGCAAGGCCCTTTAACTATGCCGCTTGGCTAAAATATCCAGAGGTTTATGGTCCATTTGGAATGGACCTGGGGGACGCTTGAAATGTCCTACAAAAGCCGGGGGACTCTGAACATTGACTGTGGCTAATATCCGCGTTGTGTTTTTCTTCTGTTGCTGTGAAACTCAAATTTCTCTCTGCAAAGGATTGAAATTAGCGAGGCAGCATTGCCAGCGGTATTTAAAGTCCTGAAGGGACCAAACAACCCCCGCACCTTCTCCTGTTGCTAAAATGAACGGACACATCCAAGGACCACTTGTGAATGAACTACAACTGCTCCCAAAGACCCAGTGCATTATGGACCTTTCCTCCTAGGTGGTGTGTGTGCCCTGTTCCCTCCAAACACATCTATCAAAAAGGGGCTGCCTAGTGTGAAGCACGTCTCGACGGATGGCCCGGGGCTCCCAGCCCCAGTAGCCCACAACGCAGGTCTGCGGAATCCGCCAGGCCTGCGTGGGTCAGTGCCTAATGAGCCTTGGAAAATCAAATGGCCTCAACTTTTTACATAGAGAAAAGGGCCATCCAGTTCAGCTTTTTGAAAGTGGCCCTGGGCCCTGGGACTTCAAATCATTGTTGCTGTGGTTGAAACGCCATGGCTCCCGTTGAAAGTTCCAACTTGGGAATGCGGATATTAGGAACTCTCCACCTTGAGCAAGAACATGCGCTTGAACCGCATTTCTCATTGAAACATGGACAGGACCAAAAACCACAAACATTGCATGCCAAGAAACAGCGACGCGCTGACCCATCTGCCACAAAGTCCGTCTGCAAAGAACAAGCGTCTTGACATGGTTTATGGTAAGGAGCCCAAACCAACAATGTGGGACTGTCAAAGAAAACTTGGCGAATAAGGGCAGTTGCCCTGATAGAAGAAATCCCCACTAAAAATAGTAATTCGTCAAAGGACCGAATTTGCAAGCAAAGATCGGGCCAAGGATGAGCTAGTCAGTAGCAAACATGACCAGCAAACTAATCGCTTTGCGACTGGTATCCAAGGTTGCGTGGGAAGCACGCGGTATCAAAGAAGCCTCTTAGAAAACCACCATTCACTGACTGGCAAGGTTCAGTGCCCATTCAGCTTCATGTCAGGAAAACGAAGCTGGCGACCGAAGGCAACTGGCAGCGCTGCCAGCAAAGTTGCTGCAAGCACCGAGCCACGAATCTCTGTTTTCTGACTTCACTTTGCGAAGCTGGTGATCCAAAGCAAACCCTCGAATTACGACAAGGAGTGCATTTGCAGTCCTTGGCGTTCCGAATGACCCATCTTGACAGCTTTTCTTCAACTGCCTTCTCTCTGCGATTACTTGAGCCGTACCGTGCCATTCCATATTCGCAAACAAGCCAGACACGCAGTACATGGCAAATATAGGGAGCCCTGCAGTACCAATATTTTCAGAGGTCACATTGGGGCCCATCCCCCCGGCTGTCCCAGCCGTCGATAACCGCAGATCTATCCGCCCCCTTTGGGGGCAGTGAGCGGCGTGCCGGACCCTTGTCCCACTCGAGTTTACATGTTCGTTACAAAGATTTTAGAGAGCACCCCCCCAAGTTTGCCACAGACCAAGAGATTGCAAACCAGCAAATAACAGGTTCCGGGCACCAGCCAGGCTTACCACCAGTTTTGCAACCAACCCTGGTGAGATTCTCAGCGCCGCGAAGCCAAATCCGGCAGCCGCACAGACCTGCCACATGAAATTTGAAAAGGCACTTGGAGCGAAATGGACTAACAGCAGCAGCAGCAGCAGCAGCAGCAGCAGCAGCAGCAGCAGCAGCAGCAGCAGCAGCAGCAGCAGCAGCAGCAGCAGCAGAAGGACAAAAAACGTACTCCTTCATGACATGGTAGATTGATATACCCTCTCAAAGGCAAGGTCACAAAATGATCCCTGGCCATGGGTCATTGTAGGCGCTTCGTGTGTATATGCACGTCTCTGATGTGTTTGAATGTGCGAACCTGCTTTCTGATCGGATGATTCTTCAACGCAACGCTCCATCCCTGAACATGTCAACTCCCCAGCCCTGCAAAACGCTGAGCAAGGCCTTCAAAAAAAGCTGTACAACGTCGAGGTACACCTCGGCAACCTTAACAGACTTGAAACCGGCGCAATCACCCTCGGCAAAATGTCAATCTAATGAAGACACCTAACACGCTGCCTTTAAAGGAACCCTCTTCAGGTTGCACATGTTCATTTGGTTTCGGGGTACTGCTATCCGCACATTGTTTTCGAGACTCAAGTCTCCGTCAGTGGTTCGACCCAAAAAGGCCATGCGCAGACCCTGGAGATCCTTCATGTCGGACAGTGGCATAAGATGCTCGCCCCACAGGAAACTGTCCAGAAGGGAATGGCCTTTTTGGGCCGACGGTGCTTTGGCTTTGCCTTTTTGGAGGCCCAGCAAAATCAATATGACGTTCTAGTGGCAGTCCAATTTCTACTGTCGAGGGCGTCTTCCCAACAACCTTGCGACATTCCCACCCATGATGAGTCAGCAGCATCCCCCGCCAAACCCCATCGCCGGCCCAGCCTGGGCCGTTGCGCCTCGGATGCGTCTGTGAGCACGAAACCAAACGCATTGGTCCTGCTTTCTACTGGAGGAAACCTGAGAGAAATGGACTGGTTCCCCCTCCTTCACTTTGAAAGCTGCTCCTAGTGGCCGAGGGCGCGACAGCTGGGCTTCCTGCGCGCGTCGCTCCCATGCATTGTGCAGCCAAACAAGGGCAGCAGGTGGGTACAAAGCTCAGTCTGTGTTCTCCCTTAGCTAAATCCTTCCCGGAGGGCATTGTCCCAAACGTGGCCAGGAAATTACGAGCGGTTGATCCTTTCAACATTGGAGCACACCTGCGGTATCCCCTTTCGCCACTTTGGTGACTTTGCACCGCTCCTTTCCTTTCCATCAAATCGTAATCATATAAATATTGAGACACATATTACGTTCCAAATCTTCCAATGTTCCGTGCAAAAGATACCGCTGCCATTCATCCCGAAGGATCCCAAGCCCTGCCTTTGGACTGGAGAGCGCCTCCAGCACTTGCCTTGTTGCCCCTCGCCTTGAGCACTTCCTAGAAGGAGCCAGCGGCGACTTTTGGTTCTACCGGTTTGGTTTGAAGGGAAATTGTCTGGAGCTGGCACCTAAGGGCCCTCAGTCTAGCTCCATGGATGGGAAGCCTGAAAGGGAGACCTTCGGGAAACAAAGAAGGCCTGTTGTTTCGAAGGTTCCCTACTGGCAAATCCATCTGGAAACAATGGCCCACGTCATGCCACGCATTCACGTGCACCTCTGGCTGCGGGTTCCAAACGACGGATTCAACCCAAGGGATGGCCAACCGGAGAACAAATCACGCAATCCATTTGGCATAAGGATCAAAGATGGATTTTGAGCATCCCAGTTCAAGACTTTCAGCTCAAAGGGTTCTTGCCAGTGTGCAAGTATTTGTAAGGAGTGCAAATCAATTCTGAAACATTGGGGAAAGCACCTTCCCCTTGTGGTTTCTCCAGATGAATGGACGTCATGCCGGGTTGATCACAAGGACCTCTTTTGTGAAACCTTCACCTTCCAATACAACAAAGGTTAAAGGTCGAACAAAGAGCAACTAAGGGATCTATCAAGGGCCGAACAATTGGAACGAAAAGGTGATGTCTAAAACCACCGGTGACATCTAGGTGGGACTGTTGCCTTCCGCCATAAATCAAAGAAGAATTCGAAAGGGGCCCGAAGAGGCTGTTTTCTGTGTTATCTGATTAGTTGTTGGGTTGCACCCCCTTTTGGAAGAAGAGCACATTGCGTGTGGCTTCGTTCGGGGAAACTGAAGTTGCAACCATCTCCCTGCCTCTGCAACGACCTCCCGGCTCAAGCCGGGGAAGGTGGCCTGTGGGCGGGGTTTGACAGGGCAACACACCGAGGCAAATACAAAACAAAACGTACAAACAAACAAAACGTACAAACAAGCAAACACCAAAAGCAACGGATCTACAGCTAGATCAAGCATTCTGGTGGTTCCCTATTTTGAGACCCTCCCACTCACAAAAACAGCAACCAAGGTCTTGCTGAAAGGAACCCCCAAAACCGTGTCAACTCAGAAAACGACACCTATCGGTTCCAAAAAGGTGCATGAGGCCCTAAAATCATCAACACACAAGCAAAAATGGGGCATGCCATTCAGGCCTGTTGATCCAGTCAGCGATGCTTCCTCGATCTTCCAATTATTCCAAGGGGAATTTCAATTGTCCCCACAAGTCAATAGGGGTAACTTCCCCTTTGCCAGGAATCCTTTGCAGAAAATCACCAAACACCTTTGGAAGCGGGTGTTTGAACAGACAACCAACCAGGAGTATGTTTTCAAAGCCGCTATGTTCAACGTTTCAAGCTATGTCAACCCCTACAAAAGTTTGTGTTCCGTAGGAAAACCAGACCTTCCAACAGCAAGCGACCCCTGACATCCCAGGTCTTCGAAAAGTTCCCTCCCACCAATTAACATGGAGCCTGTCGTTCGGGGGGGGAGTGTCCTGGTTCGGACCATGTTCCTCTTAAAGGGATCCCCGAACGTCGGTAACTACCCCCAAAAGGCAGCAGAAGCTTCCCATCCAGGGGCCGCACCGCCAGCTGATCCAAGGCACTGGGCCATCTCTGCATCACCTGCCGGTCGACTCCGCGATGCCCGTCTTTTTAGGCGCCCCGAAAAAAGAAAAAATAACAATAAAACACATTCAGTGGTGCCCTATATGCCAACCACCTTTTGGAAAGAGGGATATGATCTTTACCAGGCCTTCGGGTCATGTCACACATGTGCACTCGGGAAGGAGTATGTACAACTACCCAGAATGTCAAATGTACAGAATTGATAGCTTCTCTTCTTGCACACATTCAGCACACTGGGCTTCCCTTAGAAAACCTTGCATTTCACCAGCACCACCACAATGAGCTTCCCTTGGAAAACCTTGCATTTGACCCCGAAATGCTTCGGGGTTAAGTTTGTGCAACCTTGTGATGGTTGCAGATTGAGTAATTCGTGGTTGAAGACAATTTATGTCATGGTCAGAAAATACAAGTTTCGTGGTTAGCAGTGTCTCTGCTTCTCTTCCGGAAATACTGAAGGGGCTCCACCGGGCGCCAGCCTGAAGCTCTTGCAAACATGAGGCGAGTTGTCCTGAAAGGATTCCTGCCACTGGTGGATAAACTGCTCCCACCGGCATTCCCAACATGTATACATCTTCAGGTGCATGATTTCTTCAGGCAAGAATCACCCATGGACTCGAAATCCTCATACTATTGCATCACACATCATGTCGTTTGCTTTGAATACAAAGAGCCCCGAGACAATCCCTGCCTCAGATTCAAGCCCCCCTTTGGGCGTCTGGACACATGCATCCAATTCCAAAAGCCACGTCGTGGGTATGTCTTCTTATCTCAACACGGAGAAATGAACGTGACCAACACAACAACGGGTTTAAGCACTCCTTGGTGAGCATCATTCTATTGCGGGGATTTACACCTGCCAACCATGCTTGAGGGGGGGCTCAAATCCACCAGGCTGGGGGTGCGGTTTTGGAGGCTACCCTGTTCTTGGTATAAAGTAAAACCAAAAGGAAACCACCCGTTTTCAAGGAAGGAGGCCCCCTGTTTGGTCATCCAATCCGTTCCCACCTCGCCTTCAGCTTGTGCCTCTCCTGCTGCGACAGAAGCCCAGCAGGCGCCGAGCTCTGCCGGGGGATTGAGGCCGTGTGCCACGTCTTCGGCCGGGCCTAGGCCACGTGAACCACGTCTTCGGCTGCGTGGGAGGTCCACGAAAGGCACAAAAACCACACTGTTTGGGATGGCTGTTGGGGTCAAAGCAGAAAGTACTTGAACCCGTACAAAAGCGTCCCCACCTTCGGACCAGCAACTTTCAAACAAACGCGGCTGAATGCGGCTGATTTTGCCCTCTCTCTTTCCTAAATGAAAGCCGCCGAAGTGTGCATCCACATGCCGCTGGGGGGAATGGGGGACTGGCCCGAACTGCCGCCCACAGTTGTGAATCGGTGATGCATGTTCCACCAAGCAAATTATCGTCCAACAACAACTTTCTTCCAGAAACGTTCTGAAGGCCAATTTCGGGGGAGGAGGGGGGGGGGGTGCTACTTTTGAGTATGTCAAAAATAGGTGTTCCTAATCGCAAGGTCCCTACAAAGGCAGAAACATCCAGTCTCAGATAACAATTCAGGAAGTCTCAAATTTGCGCCGGTCTCAAGCCTCCCAACTCGACAGGCGACTCATTTTGCCATCGGTCCAGTGATATCAATGGGGCGCCAAACGACCACCGGGTGCGGCATGCGCCCCAGGCGCTCCGGAAGAATCATGGAGAGATCCTTGACCTCGGCGTGTCTCGTTTTTGGTTGAGACCTGAAACCCGAAACCAGGACCCGGGCGTCGCAACGTTTTTGCTGAGTTGGTGCCCCTTAAGAACTGTTTTGGCGGGCTTTTTGAGTTGGTGCCCCTTGGTTTGGCGGGTTGTAAAGCAAAACCAAAAGGAAAAAGCACAACTTTGGTGGTGGGTGGTACCGAAACAAAGGCCAACCCACATGGGTATGACTCCAAATAGAAATTGGACCCCCATGGCTTCGGTTCTGCTTTTGGTTTCCCGCTAAACACCGCCGCCCAAAGGGGTACCATCAAACAAACACACAGACACAAACAAACAAACAAACAAACAAACAAACAAACACACACACACACAGAAAGAAAGAAAGAAAGAAAGAAAGACAGACAGACAGACAGACAGACAGACAGACAGACAGACAGACAGACAGACAGACAGACAGACAGACAGACAGACAGACAGACAGACACACACCCACACACACACACACACACACACGTCTACCCTCTTCCCGGATGTCATGGCCCTCTTTCCAATCCCGCCTGTCCATCAAAATCCAAAGTGCCCGAAAGGCAGGGGCTTCTTAGAAACCAGCCATTGAGTGAATGATCATATTAGCGAATGGCTACCCTCCAACAATCATAGAAGTGGACAAGAAGTCATTGTAAGAATAAGGGTGTGTAGGGTTTTGGGGCTCCTGCAATTTGGAGACAAACCCACAAAATAATGCCTTGTATTGTCTTGTATTTGCTGTGCGCCTGTGCTATTTCATGTTGCTCTCACAGGACTTGATACCATGATGGGGCCTTCTCCATTCCGGGAGCCCGGTGCAATCTTCGGGGCTTCGCAGCCCTTTGGATAAACTTTGCCGAAACTTGCAACCAAGTGGTGCCTAAAGATCTGGAGGCTCTCTTCAAATGCTTTTCGTCAGGATGTTCCACGGGCTTCAGCCTAGTCTCGGGAATTCGGACAATGATCACGGGATCACTAACTTCCGAATTCCAGTATTTCTGAGTGCCAGGCCAAACTTCCTTGCTTGTACTTGATCTTGCGGTTCACTGAAATGGCCTGGTCAGCCCAGCGTGAGCTGCACAGCGCTGGCTCGATACAGTATGACAAGACCAACAAGTTCCAATGGGTTCGACTGGATCCGGCACTATGGACCACATGAATGTGCAAGCAGCGGGCTAGACATGAGATGTATGCATGGATTCTCATGGCCTTCTGTCGTCGTCCTCCATACTCCATGAGGTCCTGGTTGAACACGTGATCCTGCAAAGCATCCACCACGCCCTTGGCGGCGCCGCCTGGCCGCATCCAGCCGTCTGATGGAAGAATGTGCTTCCAGTAGGTTATTCTCGCAGGGTGGACACAAGGTGTTGGACTCAAGATTTCGCTTTCATAAGGGGATTGACTCAAAGTGCTACACGCTCAAGATTCATGGAATAGGCCCCCCGTACAGAAAATGGAGATCTGAACAGACGTGGGAAAATTGGATGCTGCCTGGTCAAACCTGTCATATCTAGCCGCCTATTTGAAGCACGCATGTGGTGCGTTCGCTGTGGATTTCTGCCTCGCACTTCGAGCTGCTCAGAAAGGGACACGTTGCTAGCAGCAAGTGGTAAGTGGCATCCTAGCTGTGATCACGAATCTTGATGCCATCTCCAACCAAGACCCAGCCAAACATGCTTGCTTAGACAAAAAGCAAAATAATGTTCCCGTCCTTGCTTAGTTGGCAGCTGTTCAAAATGGAGGGCTGGCAAATCCATATTGAGAATCCCTCTTGGGAAACCATGGCAAAGGGAGCACCTGCCGCAACCCACGGCAAGGTCCTTGCCAATTTTGCCTTTGAACAGCCTGGTCGAGGACCGCTTCTGGCCTCTATGCTCCAGCTGCTTGCGGGTGGCGGACTCCAACATGCGAAAGCGAGCCAGCCAATCCTGGCGCGGCGGACACACCCTGCCTTAGATCATGCAAGAACATGCGCCAAGTAGTTGATGGAGGGAAAAGCTTTTGGGATCTACAACATGCACCCCTGGCGGATTCATTGGGAACCAAGCATTGGCGACAAACCCGCAACTAAGTTAATCAGCCACAAAGGAAATATGTCAGGGGACCACGAGTTCTATAAACCAAGTTCCAGCTTTCCCATTGTATGAAGCCATCCAACGCCCCAGTGACCCCCACCCCCAGCCCCGCCCATGTGTGGCTACGCGGACGCCTGTGGGCAGGACTCAAGGCGGGTGGCCACGTCAAAGTCGATGTATCGCACCCTGTGCACCTGGAGCCACGGAATCTCTTTTTTGGGGGGAGCCCGTTTTGCTCCATCCCGTTGGTGGAACATGCGCAACGGAAGCTCGAGCCAGCAAGTTGGCAAATATCCCCTAGTTTGCCCAAAGGTGTTTGGTCCTTGAGGTGTGGGGCAACGACATGGCATACCTCCAAAAGGCATCCTACAGTTCTGAGAGGCCTAAACATTTTGCCAAGAAGCTAGTATTCTCTGTACAACCTCAGGCGGTTTCATTGTTCCGTCAAAGTGAACAGTAAAATACATCGTTCTACAAAAGTCCCTTTCGCCTTTTCACCCCCCAGCCTTGAAACAGGCATGATGGGTGTGCATGTGTGTGTGTGTGTGTGTGCTCCTCAACCAAACTGCGAGCGCGGATCGAATCTGTGCCAACACAAATGCTATGGTTCGCACCCTGAAAGCTGCGTATGGCAGCGACCCGCCGACTTATGAAAGCAGTCAATTTCCAGCCGAGTATGTGGTGTCCGCATCCAAGTCGCACCGACGGGATTTCCATACATGGAGTCAGCAATCCATTGAGCCCAAAGGGTACAAAAAAGCATAAGAGAGCGCTTCGGCCGGAACCGTTTGACACGATGTCAGCTTCAGCTTAGTCGGAGTGGCGCACCGATCCAAATGGAACTTGATCAACTCTTGTAGCGCAAAGCTGGCACCTGTACTTGGTTTGGAGGAGGAAAATTGCGGACCTTCCTTCCCCCTTCCCGTCGCAGCCCACCCTTGCCAAGAGACCTACAAATGTAATATATATATATATGTTGCAGCTCTAGACAGCAAATGCCACAATCAAAGAAGAATTGCCATGCGCCCTTCATAAGCCGCGCCACTAGAGCTGGGTCAACCCTTTGTTGAAGATGGGCTACCTTGTTGCATTCCCTTTAAAGGGGCCATGGTCCGTTTGTTTCAACGGCCCCACCCTGCGCCCCCTGAGGCCTTTAAGGAGCAAAGCGCCCGCACTCGGCAAGCGAACTCGGCCGACAGGCCCTGCCCAGTCGCGCGGAAAAAACAAAAACGAGAGCCAGGGGATCCTGCGTGGGAAACCACTACTATTTGTCAGGAAGGATTGATTTTCCACACCACCTGGATGTTCCTCCTTGAAATTCACTGCCATATTGAAGCACTTTGTCAATGCAGGGCAATTATTTGTCCGGGGCATTCTTTTCTGGGTGGTTTAAAATGGGGGATCCCTACTCTGATTTGCCCAATCAGACGCGTGACACCACATGCAAGGGAAATCCCTACCAATTAGGATTGAGAGCCAGCTCGTTCCGGTTTCCCTATGAGCCCTTCCCTGGGCAAGATTGGTTTACACCCCCAACTTCCCTTCAACTCTTGCGTCCTGGTTCCCATTTTTTGCAAACTCCAACGCCCCACCCACCCCCAAAACTGAGCAGGTAGTTCAGGTGGTGGGCTCAAGGGTGACCATCTGGAAAACGCAGAGTTGGAGTTGGCCCAACTTAAAATGTAGCTATGTCAAACATGTGTACTTGCACTTTAGCGTGTTGACGTCACCCGTTCTTCCGTTTAAGAGGAGACCGATCATCGACTACCAAGAGGCCTCGCTTTGTTCTGTCTAAAAGGGGAAACAACCAGGTTTTAAGGTCGAATTTCCGCATTCGGACAAACCAAAGAAACAATGCTCAGAGTCGTGAGTGTACCGAATTCCCTGTAGTTGGCCTCGAGGATGAGATCGCCCTGCGCCAGCGGCATGACTGGCACCGCGGGGCAGGTATCGTCACCGCCCAGGCGCCTGGAGAGACCAAAGGGGTCTGAAGGAAAACCAGAGAGACGCCCAAGTTCGAGATAAAAATCCAAGGGTTCCCCAAAAAGAACAGATGGAAAGGGAAATAATTATCAAAGCTTTGAGGAATGCCAAGGAGACATCCACCTGTTCCCCATGAGGTTGGTGGGGGTTTTCAAAAGGTTGAGATAAAGCCATTTTTGTGCCCTGCTCGAACCCTTTTGGGGTGGTTGCAAAGGAATGTCAAAGGGACATTGTCCGGGTTTGGCCGGCCCCATTGTAGCAGCTATTCGTTAAGCAACCGCCTTTTGGCTTCCCAAAGAAAACCACAGGCTGGCTGTTCACACTGATTTGACCCAGGCCTCTGGGAGACGCATCAACTAGTTCACCTTTTTCAACACATGAACACGGTTTCTACGAATCTATGGGCATTTGGAAATGCGGACCCGCTGGTGGCCATCACTTACATCAGCCACGGACAGGGAGAAAGGTGGGAACCCTGGCTTGATTTGGACTGTGGGCCACTCTGTCCGTTTTCCTAGCGGTAATCAATTTTGACTGTGGCTCATATTGGCACAAAGCCATCCCAAGGTTCCCTTCGAACCCATGGGACCTGAGGGAGTCAGATTTCATGTCATCCTTTTTGCCCCAGGCCAAGCGGCCCAAGGGACATCAGCCCATCAAAAACAAACCTCGCCAAGACGCCACATCTGTGAATATGAACTCGATTCACTACTTGGTAGATCGTTGTCCTGCCTCAGCCGCGCGTTGTTGGATGCCAGCTCCAGAACAGCCTCAGCAGCTGGCTTTCAGCATCGTGTGGCGTGGACAGCTCCTTTTACGCAAAAATGGGGTGAGACGCCGCAGGTGCCCCACGTCTGATTAACTGAGGCATTCCGTTGTCACTGACGCCTTCTGGTTAACATGTTTCGCCGGGTTCTGGCGTCTGTCATGCCTGCCGAGCTCTCAACACCCGTATCTGTGCACCAGGCGCGTCCTTCAGTGACCACGGCAAAGCAATCACCTGGACTTCAGATCGTTGCCGTGTGACACAGAATGTAGCACATTGTCCATAAAGCTGTGACTTCTGTGACGTGAAGTCAACTGAGTCAGCAGCCAGAGGATGCTGTAGCAGGAAGAAGATCCCAGCACTCGCCGGTTTTCAATGTCTTCAACTCAGCCTGCCGGCAAGCTGTGAGCCGTTGTGCCTCTGACACATTCACGGTGCATGGGCTATCGCAAATGGCGAAGCCATGGCCTGCAACCCAATCGCCCTGGCGCAAACGTCGTCCTAGCATCAGTTGCAAGTGTCGAAACATGCTTGGACCCTTCCGAGGGGATGGAGGCACACATTTTAGGATTTGGGAAAGCAAGGGAAAGCGCGAGTTGCACCACTGTGTGAAGCTGTTGTTTGTTTCCTTTGATTTCCACAGGTGCCCCGGTCAAAACTCCTGATGGGCCGGTCATGGTTACGCTGGGAATCCGAATCATGGTCGTCTAAATCTCCGTTTAAAGGCGTGATGATCATCTCTACCAGGTGGCCGGCTTGCAACTCGATAGACATGGCAGGTCCTTCGCGATCGCGATGGGCAACACCGTCATTGGAACGCCCACCTCCACCTCGCGCGTGAAGGCTGGAAGCGTAGGAGGTAGGGGGTTCTATGCTACCTTCATGCGAGTGCCTGCTAAACCTGCACCAGGGGCGTCAAAGTGATCTCACACCACCCAAAGGCCTGCTCGCGCCGCTCTGCCAGAACCCGGTCGAACTCCTGGAAAAGCAGAAGGGCCGTAAGCCCGTGCCCCTCAAAGAGTAGGCGGAGACAAATGCCGTGAATTGCAGAGTCAAACACTACAAAACACCAAGCTCGAAGTATTTGTATATGGTATGTATAGTATTTTTGATGTAGAATAATATGTACAAACACACGTTGGTTTATTTCCAAATGAAGGAACCCCATGCTTGGGTGGTTTGTCCTGGACTTTCCAACAGCCAAAACAAGGGTACCCATGCAGGCAAAAACACATACACACACTGTACAATCACACACACACACACACAAACACAAACACAAACACAAACACAAACACAAACACAAACACAAACACAAACACAAACACACAACACAGACACAGACACAGACACAGACACAGACACAGACACAGACACAGACACAGACACAGACACAGACACAGACACAGACACAGACACAGACACAGACACAGACACAGACACAGACACAGACACAGACACAGACACAGACACAGACACAGACACAGACACAGACACAGACACAGACAGACACAGACACAGACACAGACACAGACACAGACACAGACACAGACACAGACACAGACACAGACACAGACACAGACACAGACACACACACACACACACACACACAAACACAAACACAAACACAAACACAAACACAAACACAAACACAAACACAAACACAAACACAAACACAAACACAAACACACACACAAACACATACTGGATGTTGGGTGCTTTCCCTGGCACTAAGCTCAATGCGGCACAAAGATCACGACTCCAGAATCCCAAAGGACCCGATCTTCGCGGAAATAGTCATGATTCACCAACCAAAAAAAGTGCGAAAAGGAACCTTCATGGGTGTTCAGTCGCCAACCGAAAGCCCAAAGCAACTGTTGTATGAGGGCGATTCGGGAATCCTCCTGAATCCTCTTTCTGGCTGTGGACACCACTTGGTAGATTGTTTCATAGGGTCCCAACTGGTGCAGGAGTGTGTCCATCCAGAGTAGTGTTGGATACCTTTCTTTCACTTGAACAACGGCCGCAAAAGGGGTTCGCCATCTGCCTGATGCTGGGAAACCTCCTGCTCGCTCGCTTGCTTGTTGATGTGTGACTCGACCAAATGCAGAACAAACGCATCACTTCTCATTTACTCCGACATGCCATTTTTCAAATGGACCACGGAAACGGCCAGGATGGTTTTGAAAGATTGCAATCCACTTGAAAAGGGCCCCAGTCCGCTTCCAAACACAGGCAAAAGCAGCCACTGTGGGGCCGCCGGCCAGCGGCCTTGTGCGGTTCAAGCCGCCGATCGCCAAAAAAGCGTCTGCCCAAACGGACTCCAAAGCTAAGTCTCGGTGTGCAAGGTTCCCAGTCCTTAAGCTTTCTTACTTCGAAACGAAACAACTTGCAACCTTCGCTGAACTCGGGATTTCCTTCACGAACTTCGCACCTTCTGGTGGCTTGTTCTCCGCGACGGAGAACCAACAAATGAAAAATCCTCTGGCCGCCTCGGTCCTCCAACTCCTTGGGCAGTCGGGAGGGCAGCTTCAGGGCACGCTGCAGGGCAGTGGCCTGGCAGAAATGAATGCTACCGTCGACACATCATGAAGTGAGCCAGGGCCTCGTACCACAAGGGCTCATATCAGCCACTCACACATGTTACGGGGAAGTCTTCTTCATGCAAGTAACTGCCAAAAATCCTAGGGTCAGGTAGGGGGTTGGTCCATGTCCGTTCACCCATGCCCCCCTGGGTGTGTGGTGGTTTCGTGTCAAAATGGCCGGCAATTTGGCTTCCCTGGGACCGACATGTACGAACCCCCTGGGATGGGCAGATGGGGGCACCGTCCAAAATTGGGTGAACCAACTCCTGCGATTTGTGTGTCTCACTCCGTCAATGGGCCAATCCTTCCCTCACGCCCCCACTCCCCCCACTCCCCGCACTCCCGCGCCGGAACAGTGAGCACTCTGCTGTCCACAGTGGCGCGAACGGTGGCTGGGAAGGTGTCCTGCAGGCCTACCGGAGGTTTCAGCTCGGCGGCTCCCCCCATTTACATGGAACCCACCAGAGATCACCGTGGGGTCCAATTGAAACGAAAATGGTCTTCAAGGACCCCTCTGTCAGGTTCCAAATTGGGAGGGCAGGTTGGAGGAGAACGCAAGGGTCCCTCGACTTGAGGATCCGGGAAGCGCGCGTCGACCGGCGGATGGACGCCCCTGAGGCAAGCTCTCAGTTTCTGAAGAGAAAAAGATACAAGAAAACTGTCGGCAGCCTCTGGCACCATTGGCACAACTCTTCAAGCGTGGTCCAGAACCTAAGCATGCAAGACTCATGCCTGGAATCAAGTAACCAACACGAGCATGCGTGGCTGGTAGATTGAAAGAGATGGACCTGAAGCACAGCCTCGGAACTTGAGCACTGGATTCCCGTGTCCTATCTCCGTCACGGGACATGAGCCAGTGGCTGGCTGGACAACCACTTCACATCTGAAGCCAGGAATACTTCTAGCAACCTTTGACCCCACGACTTTGCGGGGAGCCAACTCTGCTACCAATCCGTTAACCTCAACACCTGCACATATGGACGCCATCTGACTCAATTCCAAAAGAACCACATCTGGGTGAGTCCAAAAACTATTGGGCACTTTCATACCTATGGGAACCTTGAGATATTTTAAAAGGATGCCCAAAACAAGACGTTCTTGTGTTCTCCTGTTCTGTGGCCCTTCCTGGTGTTCGTCAACTCGGGGAGGAGCTGGACATGTTTGCTTTTTCACATCTTTCGCATCTCCCCCACCTCCCCGCCCAAGGCCTAGCATGGCCATCTCTCCGAAGGAGGCCCCCTCCCCGTAGTAGCCGATGACGTCCCCCTTCTGACTCTCCACCTGGGCCTCGCCCTCCAGCAGCACCTCGGTGACGTTCAATGTTCAACGCACCTAGCGTCTTGGACTGACTGTGTCATGCCGACTTCGGCTTCATCCGGACCATACAAAACATCCGGCAAAATTCCTCGTTTTGTGAGGAACATATCGATCTTGGATGGGGGTTCCTCTGACTTCACCTCAACTTAGAACAGCTTTGTAAACTCCTAATCAGTTGATCTTTCATGTGTTTCAGGTGAAATGAGTAGCTGCAAATGGGCAAACTACGAGCTTACCCAGGAAGCGGGAGTGAAGCGAGCTCGGGCCCCGCAAAGATCCCTTAATTCTGCCACGTTTGAGGTGCAGGTCATGCAGAAAAGGCGCCAACATGGCGTCCGCAGCGGAGGCTTTGTGAGCAATGACCTGTCGCAAAACCCTGGTGCCTTGCTGGTTGGATTTGGGCGATTCGAAAATTGGGTACCCCTCGTAGATGGCGCTTAAAGGAATGATCTGCATCTGCGCTTGATTGGGACAGTTTTCTACTAACATTCATCTCCACTGACTAACTGGGCCCGGAAGAAAATCATTGACTCGTTTCCCCAAGAGGACGCGGGACAATTGGGTGGCTTCACCCCTGGTTTTGCCCGATTTTGCGTTGAATTTGAGTGGGGCCCCCTTCTTGTCCTCCCCAAAACTATTGCTAGCCCCAAATTGAAGGTGGCTCACTGCTCTTTCAACAGCTAGACAGCTCAATTAAAACAAGAACCGAGGCCGCACGTTGCCCCTCAACAAAAGGCTGCTGGCACTAGACCACTAGACCACTAGACCAGCAATGATGTTGTCAGTGACTTCACCCGAACTTGCCTCTCCGGCTCCGAAAGGCTTGTCGATTAGCGGCGCGGCGACATCTTCCAAGAAGCCTTCCGCCTCAGGTTGAGCGGCCAACCTGAATCATTCAGAGACTAAACCCGCACACCGAAACCCTGGGCAAGTCAAGTCAAGCAAAACGGGCTTTGGTGTGGTAACAATTCCACAGTGCCCAGACCGGACTCCCATGTTCCCTGTTGCTTTCTCAACCAAGCTGTGTCTTTATAAAGGGGTGCCCACCATGAAGCTGCAAGATAAACCGTGGGTGTGTCGCCAAATACGGAACCCCGCCAAAAACCGGATCTCGATGAGGCTTCCACAGGGGAACTTTGATTGGGGTGTGCTATGGATTTGGCCAATATATACGTCTGCAAGGGAGTGCACCAGACGTTTTCGAGGGTCGGGGATTTACGTCACGATTCGTTTTCGGGGGCGTTCCAAGCAATTGTCCTCGCCACGTCGGACCAACCCGCCCCCCCTCCCATACCCAAGCCAGCCAACAGCTGTGGGCCCCGGCATGGCCCCTAAGGATGCCAGCCGCAGCCAGTGCCGGCATGACCTCTGGATGGGTTTGTCTCAAGCGCTAATGTGGATAGACACATCCACGCCGAACGCCAGTTGGTGGCTGGTTTATTCCAGGATTCATAAGGCTTTGTCCATTCCAACTGATGCAGGATGCTGTCAAGCCACAGAATGAGGGCCTCACAAGCACATTTCTTCGTGATCATGTGAGAAATCATAATATAAGTATGTTGCTCCTCAAATTAACCTGCAACATGGGCCACTGCCGATACCTATCAATGTAGGTCGTTGAACATGTTTGAGCATGGTTAAACCACAGGTTACAGTGCCCGACCCTTGAAGACAGCCACAAAAGGGCCCATGAGCCGCGGACACTCTGCTGCAGCCATTGGTTGCGACCTCGGTCAAGTTTCCACCGCCATTCTGTCGTCTCTAGCAAGCCAATGCAGTACTTGTCCCAACAAAGATAACACCCGTCGGATTACTTACAACAAATGTGGGCGAACAAAATTATGCAATCCAACCGCATCATTGTCACGTCATATAGGCTGGAGCCCAGCTTTGGGTCGCATGCCCAGAGAGAAGCACCCTGTTGATTTTACAGGGAAACTCAGATCCGAAACAGATTGCCAGAAAGCCACTTCTTAGTGAGAAAAAGGATCTGATGATCAGTCAAGTTCGTCTAGCCAACTGACTCTTGCAAAGGCCAATGCAAAACCTTGGACGAGGGCGAACACCACGCCCCTACGGGCAGGCAAAAGCAAACGGAACAACTCCTCGGATACTGACATGAAAAGCCGCCCGGGCCGCAATTCAGAGCTTGCAAAAGGGTGACAATTCTGGGCACCCTGCGTGCCATGAAGTCCGCATTCATCTCTTTGCGACTGGGCCGAAGAGGCGGTCTCCCCCCCCCCCTGCTCTGAGGACGGACAGCACGGGCAACAAGGCAAACGCCCGGACATGGGGCGCAAGTGCAAGGTTAACAATGCGGGAAATACCGCGCGTGCCTGTCAATTAATTCTTTCTACAGCAGCCACATTGTCATGTGACGCTGAGCACTGCGCTCCTAGGGCTCCTGTTGCAAGGCAGGCCATCTGACATGACATACTAGCTATCTAAAATGAGGTGGAATTGGTCGCTTTTGAACAGCCTGGAAACAGACACCCTCAAAATGTACCCATTTATCATAATATGGGCATCCATACATAATGTTGCGTCCTCTTTACTGCGTAAAAGCAATCCACAAACAGCCAATTAGTCGAGCCTGTCCTATTTTGTATCTTGCTGTCATGCTTGGGATTGGGGTCTACTCATCCTGAGACATTCTTTGATGTTTCGCAGTGCGAACTGATCCTCTTGAGACACCTTTCATGTTTAGTATTCGGACTACTGGACTGGTTTGTGCTAGCTTTTCTAAAGGGATGTTGGCGCAATTAATCAATTAATCTGGTTGATTCCAGGGGGACATTTAGTGCTTGCTATTGCAATTGAAGGGCTGGTTCTAGCTCTCGTTCAAACAGAATACTGCGTTTGACATTAACGCGAGTCTCACAAATAGTCGGAGAAAAAACTCACTGATTGAGTTTGCGCGGCCCGTTTGCAGTGCTTGCTCATGTACAAACGAGACAGCGGAACTTGCAAGCGCACAACTTGCTGGTGCTCAGTAGGGAATGTGGGAATGAACCCAGGGGTCCCCTCACTTATATAAGAAACCACAAGTTGGATGGTTCATAGGGGTCATTCCTTCATTCCCTACTCAGCACCCAGCAAGACAAGTGAACAAAGCAACACTAGCTAGTACCCGGCCTCTCTCGCAAATCGTCGAACCACTCTGTCTCCTGGTGCAACTGGGTTTTGTCTCCGCGTATTGAGCAACCTCGACTCCGAAAAGGCTGCTTGCCTATATGTGTGTACGATCTGTGTATGTGTGTGTGTGTACAAGTTCCCTTTGAAATCAAACAAGCACAGACGTGCCCACCAAACAAAAGCAACAAGCTGATCACACTCCACAGACAAAGCCCGCAAAAGGTACACTCAGAAACGACATACCCACAATGATTCTTCAATTGGAAGGTACTCGAAGCCGCTCATCCTGCGGATACTTCTTGATCGCCGCAGCTATGGAGGACCCGTGAATCCTAGCGCAGTGAACGTACCTGCAAGACGAACGGGCGCATTCTCCCCGATTTGGGACCTGCGTGGTTTGCAGCCACCCAAAGGTACGTTTCGAGTGGGTGTTCACTCACTCAGTGGTGTTTGCAGTGCAAGGTTCCATGCGGCTTTGTCATTGTCGCCCAGGCTCAACTTCCAAAACGCCCAAGCGGGTTGTTGGGCACCTTGTCCTTAGCCTCCCTCCACCTGAGCCCAACCCAACTCAAAGGCAATCCAACCGAAGAAGCAGAGAACACTTGGTGAGTCTGGCGCAAGTCCATGGCCTTATCCACTTGCATGTTCGTCTTGAGGGCGGTTCAGCTGCGACAAATCTTTGAGGATGGGCCATAAATCCCCAGTTGGACTCTTTGGGTACATGACGTTTCATCATGGAGAGTAAAAAACCAGTGCCAAGTTTAGTACAGCTGACGAAACCCTATAAAATCCCACGAAACCCATGCAAACCCAATGAACAAGAATGAAAACCCTATATGAAGCCCTGTGAACCCCTCCATATCTGTGAAGCCCTAATGGAAAAAAACAACTACCAAAACCCTTTTTGAAACCCCATAGATATCCTTTGAAACCCCGCCAAAAAAAAAAAACTATGACAAGCCTGGCCATGGGTCAAAATCCCGTACCCCCAGTGAACATCCCAATCCCCACTAAAACAGGTTCCACAATGGGTGGTGAAATCGCCTACCAACCATGGGATCAAAAACGGTCTTGACAGCCAGCGCTCCATCGAAGGACCCTTGCGCACGCGGAGGCCCAGGCTCGCGCGGAGGAGTTCCGGCGGGGCGCGCCCATGGACCCCCCCTCGCCGAAGACCTCCCCGGGCGAGAGCCGGGCCTTGGGACATGCATGGAAAGGACCACAAAAGTCGAACCTCAAGCCACCTGGCCGTGGGTCAAGACCGTTTTGGCTCCCATGGTTGGATTGGGTGAATTCACCACTCATTGTGGAACCTATTTTAGTGGGGATTGAGATGTTCCGGGGTTTTGACCCATAGCCGCCTATCTTACTTGTGGTGTTCATCTTACTTGCGGCTTTTCATATTTGCTTCATCTTGGTTTGTGTTGCTTGTGTACACGCAATAGACGAACCAGGAAAAAAACAATAAATCCAAGGAGGCATACTGGTGTTATGGACACATGGCTGTGGTGCAACACTTATTCCAATCGAAAAACCCACATGCCGCTCCTCCTGGTCACTGGTACACACACTTAGATGCGTTGCTCCCGCAAACCCCGTTTGAGTCCGAGTTCCAAATGCCTCGTAACTGGGAGTCCTTAAAGCCTGAAGTGGTTGCATTCCTGGTTTCCCCGAAGACGAAAGACACCCCACAAAACACGATGTCAACACCCCACCCATGGACGGGCAAAACGGTTGGTACCCTTGTTGCACGAGTGGATGCTTCCATCCCCGTACCCCTCGGCCGAGGCGAACTTCGGCCCCCGGCACAGACCACACCCAGCTCCGTTTCAATATCCACCTCCCCAGCCAGCAGGATGTACATCTCACCTGGCTCGGCTCCCATTCGGCCCAAGAGGGTCCCCCTGTCCAAGTTTCCCCATGCCCAAAGTCCATGGAATGGGTCCAACCTGGCTAAAAAAGTGTTTTGCCTTACTTCGACCCGAGTGAAACCTGGTAGCAACAACGACACATTGCACGACCCATTTCAACTGCATATCCCACCTGACAGGGCCATCCTAAACGTCAAGCATCAATGCACCCGATGGGGACTCACCTGAAAGTGGCCCAGGTACTGGTCGACACGCAAATTCAACTCGCTGTATGTTAGATTGTCCCCAGTTTGGTTTCGTTGAAAGAGCACTCGGAGTGTCAAATATACAACCAAATATCTTGAGGAGGCAACAGCCGCAGACGGTGAGTGTTCTGATACCATAGGTAGGACCTACCAAAGCAACCCTCACCTATCATGATGACACTGTTAACACGTGGCAGGGTCACTCTTCGCAAAATCGCACTCTTCGCCATAGCGAAAGATCGCCTGGATTGCAGGTGTTGAAACAGTGCAAATGTAGGCCGTGTGAGCTGTGCGTTGTCTATCCGTCTTCTCGTCAAACTTGCCCTCTGCCCTTGTCCAACTCAGTCGGGAGCCAGAAACGAGAGCAACCTCTGCAATCAAGATGGCGCAAGGAACAAAATGTTGAATTATACCCTAGCAATCCTAGCACATGCAGGCACTTGACACACCAAGATTGTGTACACTTGGCTACCTCGCGTCTCATGCCTTGGTCTCGAAGCCTAGATCCGCAGCTTCTCCCCGGTGATCCCATTGCAATGACAACCTCCTTCTGACTCTAATGGCCGCCTGGTTCCCCGCCTCTCCCGGGCCGAAAAAGGCATCCTGATCGGGCGAAGGGCAAGGGGCGGGGCCACAAAAGCCTCACTTGAGGGCTTCACAAAAACCAAAGGGCCTTACCGGCTCCTGATAAGCTTTCCAAGAAAGAAAAGGTATGGCAAACAACATTGAAATACAAATTGCATTGCTTCAATATTTGACTGTGTGCGTGTGTGCGCTTGAAAGAAACATTATTCTGGCTACTCATTGTTGGAAAGCAACTCGCAGAGTTAACGCAATACGCATTGACTTGTAGTTCTGCCAAAGTGCATACAGAGGCTTTAATAGGCTTCCTTGCGATCCTGATTGATATAACCAGGTAGATTGCTCTCTCCTACAAAATCCGATGGGGCTTCGTGCGCTCTCAACTGGGGCTTGCGCTTGCCATTGCGGCTCGTGCGCTCAAAGCTGGAGCTAAACCCTGAAATCAAAGAGACCCCAGCGGCAACACTAAATTAAAGGAACCTTAGCCAACACTGAGGGAACGCTAAGAAACCCTGGAGGACCTAACCTTCAGGAAAGGACCCTAGAACCCTAACGAGCCCCAAAGCCCTCCTCCATGTGTTCGCAAAGCATAGCCATGAACTCCATCGACAGCTCCACTGCCATGGGCAACTGGAAGATACGATTTTCCAACCTGGCGATTCACGGTAGGGGGTGAATACACTGGGGGGGTCCAAACCGCACAGGATTCCTTCTTCAATGTGACACACCTTATCAATCAACCAAATGCTTCCCAAGAGGACATGGACAATTGGGGCCCGGCCACCTTGCTTTTACTGCGAAAGTGGGGTGGACCCCATGTCATCCGAACCTAACAATAGACTTCCGGTAAGTTTGTCAGTTGCCCACATGGGTATGTCACACATCTGCTTGGAGGCGGTGCCTCTTTTGCAGTTACTTGAAAGGAAGGCCTAAACAAGCATTGATATGGGTTCCACCCAAATTCATGTCACTTGTGCAAACTCCAAGATAGACTTTCAGGGGTTGCGAGCACAGGGTTTAAGTGAGTCATAATCAAAACCTGGTACCAAAGGAGTCTACCCACCATTAACGGAACAAACGGGAGGATTTCCGCACCAAATCGCACCTATAGTTGGAACTGTCCTCTATTGACGTTCATCTACCCAGGCTTTGATTGCTCAAATCTGCCTTGAGTAACTCGATGAATTATCTATTCTGACCCATTTCGGGAAGGGACAAAAGAAGACAAAGCGAGGAGTCTCTTGTTGGCCCTGCTTAAAGGGAGCTGCGCCTTGGACCTCTCAACATCTCCCGCGCCTGCTCTCCAGCTGGGCCTCCTGGCACACCCACCGCAACGGGGTTTGAGGGACTCCGGCCTGCTCTCCAATGGTGCTTGGAAAACTCCAATGGTGCTTGGAAAATGCAGCTAGTCGGGGTCTTGATTGGAGCAGTTGCTTTTCTTCCCAGCTCAGAAGCCCACGAATTGGTTTGTTTGCACGCATTCCCCCTCTATGTCAAAAGGCCCCTCCAAATGGGCTGTCTCTTCTTTTAAGGGCACCCTTGCGGTTGGATTGAAAGGGAAACCATCCTCCAATTTTGAGACAAACCCAAATTTGTCCGAAGGCCCTTCACCTCAGTCGAGTTCGGCTTCGAAGTCGGTTCCGGCCTCGCCAGTCTGGCACAAAGGCTCCAGCAGCTGGCAGTCTTCTGGGTAGTCCTGGGAAAATCGGCATGATGAAGAGCTCTGCTGAAGAAAAAAGGACATCCATCTCAGCGTGAATTTCTTTTAAGGAAAATCTAACACCCCAAGCATGGAAGATACCCCAAACAGGAGGGTAGTCCAGCCCCGCAAATGACTGATGACCCCTGATCAATACGCCCAGAGTCCCATAATTCATCTGGAGTGAAAAACATGCCAGAGCTTACCTGCCCACGCTGCCAGATCCCTTGAGCAGAAGACTCCCAAAATCCGAGGAGTGGCTGGCAAATGTCTGGGAAGATTCCAGCGGTTCATGAATACCCTCACATTCCTCGGGAAACGTCTCAAAACCTGGCAAGAGTCAGCATCCGAGCTCTGAATGGGAACCACCCAATCAAAACATGCACTAGAGTCTGATCCCAAAACGAGAGAACGTGCCACATCCTGCCCCCCTGCTTTACTAATTTCACCATTCCCATCCAAATGGCATTCAGCACCCAAGTGCCCGGCTTAGTCAAAACCCCGCTCGCGAGAATCAGCTTTTTCGATGCTCCTGGAGCACAGCCCAGAAGTCGGCGCAGGGCAACGCCTCAAGTTGGCCGAATTCCATCGCTGGCCTTTCCATACGCAGGCCATGACCACTCGGCCTACATCGTTGTGTCAGGGCATATGTTCATTTTGCCGCTCATCGGTTGAGCAAATGCGGTTGACAGGAAGGCGACCCTCCCCGTTCACGGGCCGCACCACGTCGACTGCCACGACTTAAACGAGGCTGGGGCAGCGAGGATGCACAGGTTCGCGGCATAGACGGTGCTGTTGTATGCCTGCCAGGTGATTGGCCAAGAACTACAGACCAGTCAGTAATCTAGAGAACATGTTGGATGCCTGGATGCCCGAACTGTGGAACTCACCAACTGTCTTTTAGCACCCTCTGGGCACTTTCCAGGAGGAATCCAAAGGTGGGAATCCAAAGGTGGGGCATCAAAAATAAACCTGGAACAAACGCAATGTCCGACTCTTTGAGCAACCTGCAGAATAAGCGTCTTTCTTCCGATCAACCTTTGTTGTCCGCGATAAGCCCCCGAGGCGCGGTAACTTGGCCAACGGTGTTGACCATACCTACGCACATCAACATGGAAGCAACCTTTGGAGGAGGACAGGTTTTAGGATGTGTCAGGACCAACCCCTTTGGCACTTGCTCCTGGAAAGAGAGCTCAAAAACTCCGCTTTGAGTTTGTGCAATATCCTGAAGTCAATCTGACGGCTCCCTGGCTGCAAAGAAAGGATCGATCTCTGGAGGCAAAACATGGGGGGAAGGGGGCCTTTGTCTTTTGTTCGATGGTCCCCCCAGTTTTTCCGGGCGCCTTGGAGACCCCCAGGGCTTCAGCCTCGCCGAAGACCTCGAGGCGCGATTGGCAGGCTGGCGCTTGTAGGCTTGGCTTGGTGTTTACATCTGCCAAAGGTTTCCCTTGGCTAAGCACCTGGCATGAACTATTGAGGGTGCCAGCGTGGCTTGGTGTGGTTTGGCTGGTTTCTTGCGTGGCAGGTCGATAGATCAAAGGTCAGAATCCTCAGATATGGTCGCTCCTATGTGCTCTGCTCCCATCTTCTCCCATCTCAAGCAAGCATGTGGCGCACCAGGCAGCGCGGGACCGCACCACGGCCCCTACCAAAAACAAGCAAAAACTGCTTCTGACTCAAAACAGGGAACTGGTTCCGTGTTTGCCAAGAAAATAACATCCAAAAAAAAATAGACCTGGAAGCTGGAAGGCTCCGAGAACCACATCCGTTTCAGGACTTCCTGTGTTTCCCGCGCGCCCGCCTGCCCCGCCACGAAGTCCCTTCGGCGCTTGCCTGGCTTAAATACCCCTCGGTGTGAGGCGCGCCGGATGGCCATCTCGTCACCCTATGAACCTATGGGTGTGTCTTTTTTTTGGCAGCATGGTGGTACTTTCCTCGTGGTTCTCGGTTTAGGACTTTGAAGCTTCAACCTCGCCGTTTGCAGAACTTGGTGCTCCAAGGACGGTGGTCGTTTGGTCATTCCGAGCAACGGTTTGGGCCAATTTGAATGGAGTTTCCTTTGGCTGGTGGCTGGTGTGATATGTCAAGGAATATACAAGGAAGTCTGTTCAAGGATGTGAGAAATCAGATGCCTGTTGGGCCAGCGAACAGGCGAGAGCGAGTTCTTGTGATCCCCATTCCCCCCCTCTGCAACTTGTTGGATTCCAGCTGCCTTCATCAACGTAGGCCGACCCAGACATCAGAATGTACCTGACACTGGCACACTGGTAGAAGACATGGATGACAGCAACCCTCACAACAAATATATTGACGATCTCTTGAAGGGATTTATGTCCAGGCCCCATTTGGCGTATGAACCCAGTTGCCCAAAGGAGTGAGAAATCAAAGGTTCTTGGGACCAAAAGTGAAATTGGACTGAAACTGACCAAAACTGGAAAACTGCAAGAAACTCTCACCATTTCCAGGGCACCACAGTTCCCGGCAGCCTGAGGAAAAAATGGCGACCCGGATTAATCCACCTGGTGGATTTTCAGTGACGGCTCACAGAAAAGGACAAGAACACCCTCTTGAATGGAAAATTTGATCATCCCATCGTAACCAACTGGGATGTTTCTTTTGTCCCTGGCGTCCCAGTTACAAACAAACACATCTTTAGTAGTTTCAAAGCGGCGTCTCAAGGGTCCAGCAGCGGAGCACATGACTCCGTCTGCTTTGCCCTTGGTAATGATCTCGGCGAAGGGCCTGCGACGCGAGCCGCAAGCGCTTGGCCTTGTGTCTGATCTAACCTCGGCCACTTGGATAGGTGTGAAAAAAGGCAAGTTTGGTTTCGTTGAAAAGAGACTAACACTTTCCATGGGAGTCGTTGCGCGCATGGTCAAAACTCGCATGTGTCACGTGTCATCATTTGTCAGTCATGGTGAATTCTAAGGATGTTTTTTTTACAATGGTTGTGCACACTGTAAGCCCTTCAACAACAGGTCGATGACCATCCCTAACAAACCCAAGTACAAGGGCGCTCTAACCACGCAGGTTCGGCTTTGCCTCCCCAACATGGTGATTGTCCCTTTGAAAACACAACCTCAATAAGCTCAGGTGATATCCCCAACAGCAAGTGGTGCTCTGTCTAGTGCTCGCACCACCCCGCAGCCCTCGCAGAACCTCGTGGAACCCTGGTGGAACCCTGGTGGAACCCTGGTGGAACCCTCGTGGAACCTTACCTCAGACCACCTGGGAGCCCCGGACCACCCCGCAGCCTATCTGGGCTGAGACCCCAAAGCTTTCAGCTGTTGGGGAAAAAAAGACCCTCAAGAAGGCACTCACATATTTTGACCAACCTCTACGACCATCTCCGGCAACCAAGTAAAAGCGAGCCACGCCATGGCATCCATCACAGATTCTAACCGGATTGGCCCAGGTTCCCGCTTCACCACCACCGGCTCCAAGCGCTGCTTGAGATCCTGGGATGCGGCTGGGCCACAAGGACAGAGGAAACCTGTGAAAACCCTCTAGTTTGGTATGCCTTGGTCTTTCGGCATAAAGCTTCAGGCTGAGGGCTTTGTGGCTTCAAAAGCAAACTCGCTTTTTCTGGGGGGGTGGGGTGGGGGGGGGGTGTTGGTGGAAGTTTGAGTGTGACCCCGCCATTTTTGAGCCCCTGATCATGGACAACAGGAAAGTTTGACCGAACCTTGCAATCTATTGGCAAAATGGTCCTGGGACTTAGGGCAACGCATTTGAACACATTCATCAATTGTTGCCAAGGCAAAAAAACAATTGAACGATACGTTGAGAAACCAGTACCACTGCAAGACAGTCCACACGCACCTTCCACCAGTCCTCAATAGCGGCATCAGACAAGAATCTCATGAGCCGGGATGTACGCACCTCAGCCACAGGGAAAGATATGGCCCAGGAAAGGTTAACCTTCTTCGGGGCTTTCCTCAAAGGTTCTGAGAGCCTGCTCTGTGACCCCTGAGCCAACCTTGAAAATACCAAGTTCAACCTGTTCTCCGCCTTGACTCCAAAAGTAAAAGTTGATGTTTGGCCCTCAAACACTCCTCAGAGTCGAGTCGGGCCAAGGGCCCGGCCATTTCCGGAGAAGCCAAGCAGGTACCGTGCAGCTTCATCGCGGCTTTGTTCGCCTCGGGTGTTTTTGTGCTAAAGGAGCCTGGGTCTTGAGCCCACATCTTGTTGGACCCTTAGGGTACTGGGACCATCTTAGTTAATCCTCAAAGCTAGTCTCATGTTTTGAAGGGGTTCTCCACGGCCCAAAAGCGATCTTTCCATTTGAAGAATCTTGGGGCTTACTTCTAGCCCAGGTCGTGCCCCTGAGTCCGAAGCCATGGTGTCCCGAATACTCCGGAAGATCATATCTTGATCTTGCGGGAAGTCGGACACCACCTGAGTTCACTCACCTAATCTCTTCGCCCCGAGATGGTCAAAGGCCCAAAAGGGAACAGAATCCAAGGCGGTTACGTTTCCACAGGGCAAAAACCCACTCCGAGCAAAACTCAGCCGAGAGGTGTCCAGTTTGATCATGTCGCCATATTTCGCTTTGACACTCCGGCCTTGTCCCAAACCGCCAAGGACACGAACTGGAGATCGCAGGGCATCCGGAGATCCAACCTGCGGCATGTTCGATCCCAGTACCATATGTCCATCAAACCAAAAGGAAATTCCAGTTTGGAGCAATTAATATTCAGGTGTATGAATATGACAATCCTTGCTTGACCAGGCAAAGACATCCATCGAGCCTCAAGCCGGACGCGCTGCTGGCCCCCGAAATGCCCAGCAAGATTTGCTCGTTGAAGGTGTCCCCGCAGCGAAGCACCTGTCCAGTTGATTTTAGAGGCTCTCAGCCTTATCCCAGAGGGTCCAAGTGCCCTTGAAATGGATGTTTGAGAGCTAAAATGGGTATAAAACCTCTTGAGGGTATAAAACCTCCTCATCCCCTTGCTCATGCGATTTTTGGAAGATGCAGGTGGAAAGGTGGTCGACTTCTTTCACAAATTCGCTCTGCCTCCACTTCTCGATCCTCCTCGTCGACCAGCGATGCCTCACCTGCGACAGCAGGAATCTGAGCAGTGAGTGTGTGCTGGATTGCCTCATGCAAGAGGGAATCCTTCACTTTTGAGGGCAACACCTGCAACAAGCCGCAAGCTTGACTAGTTCCGGGGGTCAACATTAGCTTGCAGCTTCCCCAACACACGAGATTGAAGCGGTCTGCGCTCCAAGGGCGAGCAATGACAAACCCTTGATATGTCATAGTGAGAAAGTTCCCCTGCCCGTCCTTCCGCCAAATCACGTAAGCCACATAGACGGGTCGTGAACAGTTTGCCGTGTTCAACTGAAGGGAGAAGCAACTCGCAAATCAAAGCCTTACAAAATGGACCCGGATACAGGGAAACCAAACGTGAACATTTGATCGGTTGGCTTCCCAGCCTTGCACCACTAGAAGAGCAGACTCCTCCGCAAGCCTGGTCATCTCTCCCGCCAAAAGGAAACGCGGCTCCCTGCCCTGTGGATGAAAGATCTGGACATGTCGCTGGCCTTTTGATACCTTATTGCGGCAAACTAATCGCATCTAATACTACAGCCAACTTGAGGTAAGGAACGTCCGGGGTAAAGGCGGGTGGCCTGCTAATATAACCACAAATCTGTGAGCTTGCCATAACCAGTGAAGACATGCGCTTGGTTGGTTCAACACCGCCGGCTTCGCCCAAAGTTTTTTTTTAGCCAGTCCCCCAGTCTGTCCCAAATTGACTATGGACTGATCCTCGTGCGGGTTTGGTTTCAGTGACAGTCGGAGCCCGGTGACCCACGCCCCGCGCCCAAAGGCCGCAGGCCGGCCTTTTCCAGTCGCTCTCCCCGGGGTCGTACAACTGAGCAGGCAAAGCCCGACAAAGAATGCTTGCAAACTGGATGTGCTGGGAATCCGTGAATCAAATCAAGTTCACTTGGAATGATTAGAAACACAAGGAAGTACACAGACACTCGAACTACCTGGCAAAAGTCACGGAGTCTGGTTGATATTCGCTACTTGCGTCCGTTCGCCTTGCAGCCAGCGAACAGGTTCAGCAAGTAGCTCATGCCTTAGGTGTGGGCTGCTCCAAACACCCACAACGGTAGACGTTAGTGCACTGGTACAGGGAATCCGAAGAATACTAAACCAATGTTTCTGCAAACTGGACGCCTGTGCGCGCTTTGAAGCACAAAACTGCTTGCCCCAAGTCTCCGGCGCTGCGGCGCACACTTCTGCATCGGCCATTTGATGCCGGCCCCCTGGCAATGCGTCGCATGGGCACGTTTTATGCCAACCGCTCCAACCAGTCCTGGTCTTCATGCTTGCCGATGGTTTGCAGCGCGTAGTTCTCAAGCTGGCGCCTCGTTGGTCCAAGTGATCCGACCGACTGGGCGCTGTGCGCGAGCCGTTGGGAACACACGGGATGGACTTCGGGCACTACATCTTTGATGCGAGCTCTGCAGATTTGCATGGAACGAGGCTCCGCCAAAAGGAGACTCCTCAAAAATCGGCTTCGGGGGGCCCATGGTCCATGTTCAGCTGCATCCAGAATCCTTGGTTCAAGGTAAACCTAGAAGCATCTCCAATGTCTGCAGCCCAATCAGCGCCTCTCATCCGGGTGCTTGTCGATTGCCTGGAGCTCAAGTCTCAACTTGCGTATCCTGACGCGAAAGGGTGTCCTTTTGGAGAGATCAATAGTCGGGAATCTTAACAAGCTGAAACACATGGGTTTCCCCTTCCTTCAGCCAATCCGACCTCAAAGGACAGCCATCCCAACTAACCTTAAAGGACACCTATCCCAACTAACCTGTCTCAAGTGGGTCCCAGAAAGGATGAAACTCATTGGCGAGCTTGGACCCTTCTGGCAGAGAAGATCCCAGCAAGATTCCTCGGACTCTGATAGTGGATGATTCGGACAAAGACATTCAAATGAGCAAACTGCCCTGGGTGGTGGCGTGTGGGTAGCCTTGTGGGGATTGCCAGCCGTGGACGCTTGCCGATTTGCTTGCAGCACATTTTGGAGTGTGCTTGGGCTTAGTTTGCTCCCATGCTCGCGGTCGGTTGGTTGGTTTGCCCGGCTTGCTAAGCTGGCCTGGCAAAAAAAGTGCCTTTCGGATGGAGAAACACACAATATCCTTCTAGTATCAGGTTTCCACATGACATTGGGATTCCAAAAAATTGCCGTGCAAAAAAAGCTATACCCTTACGAAGCAGGGATGGTTTGCAGCGTGCTAAATGCCCCTTGCGTGCTCAAAGATGTCCGAACCCCCAAAAAGATGTTGCAACAGTATACTGAAACCGTGGGAGAATTGCGCCTTCGCGACACTATGGGGTCGTGTTCTTTGAATTCCCCTCATGCTCAGCGTACACCCATTAACTCAACAGACTATCATCTGGCAGTACCTAGCACAAGAATTAAGGTTCCAAGGGTTGATTTTGAATAATCCACCGTTTGCCACTAGGGGCTATTACTCACCCAGCTTTGGGCAAAACCCCACGCTGCCCATTTCAAAGTGCCAAACCTCGTTCGGCCTGCAGAAAGGCCGAACGGGGGATCTCCAGGGTGAAGACCAAGGTCTGCGCACGCACCTGGGCTCCACCCCGCAAGTGGTTTGGATTGGTGGATTGTCTCCCAGCTCTTTTTGAAGGTAGCCCTAACGTCCAAACCAAACCAAACCAGATAAGGACAATTGCGGTGATGGATAGCCTCCCTTAACATCGCATCCACCAACCAAAGTTACCACTGATACCGGGTATTGCCCATTGATCGCATCATCCAAAGACCAATTCTCCAAATCTCCGCACCTCACCTCCACACAACTCTGCCGACGACTCTCCTAAATGCTCTTTGCTCCCCGCAGTGCTCGGGCGCTGGTGCTCGGCGCCCAGGATCATCAAGTCCCCAAGGCAGCTGCCTAGACGGGCGGATTCTTCTCTTGATAAATCAAACGATGCGGTCCAACAATTCGCACTTGTCGTAAAAGGACGCGAGAAGATGAGAAACTCCGCGCCCTGCTCGGCGGTCAAACATTTGCTTCGTGTGTCGCCCCTGTCCCCAAATCATAGTGGGCTCTGTTCTACGCAACTATGGTTGTGGCTTCGGAGCCTAGGGGTTGAGGCTTGCTCTTTCTTGATCGCTTAGTATTAAGCCATTTGAAGACTGCAGTCCAACGATCCCCTTCTAGCAGACAAATGCAAAAGGCAGTTGTACCGCTTTTTCAGGGTGGAATCAGCCCGCCGTTGTTTTGCAAAGGCTTCAGCTCTCCCATTTCAGCTGGACTGAAACCCATGTTTCCGGGCAGCTCAACTTTGGGGGCTCCTGCATGGGGTGGGCCCAGTTCATCTGATCCATCCGGCTTCAGAGGGTTCCGAGATCCCGGCTCGTCTCATTCTTGCGACGGCCGTTCTTTTCCTCGGTCGGCCATGCAGCTCAGACCGAATTCGCGGCACCCGACAATGGTTTCAGTTTAGCTCCCTTCAAACCAACCCCAAAACGGGCACCCTCAAAACATGACACGCAAATATCTGCGAACAATGCGCTCGCCCCCTGTGAGCTCCGTGTGCAATTTGCAAAGACGGCTTCAGGCTGATCAGGAGGCCTAAATCCTATGCAATTAAATCGGCTGGTCTCATCTGTCGCAAGGGCAAGATCAACAACTAAGGCTCTTGAGTTTGCCAGCTGCTTTGAAATGAGCCTCGCAGGCAGACATTTCAGGGCCAAGAATAAATGCGACATCAGCACAGCACTCCCAGCTTTCAAGCGGCTTTCGATGGTGCTGGGGGCAGCCACTGCAGTCGCCTAGCCACGGCATTGGATGCACAAAAATTTGGCCATGGGAGTCATGGGAGCTGGCAAATCAGGGTCAACAAAACCCGTGCCAGCCAGCTTTGCTGTTGCCTGCTCAGAAAGCAAATTGCACCATCGGGGCAGCATGCTTTTGAAGCCAGCTGCATCATCATCTCTCTTACGTTTCTCATCTCGCATGACACGTGTGTTTGGGTGGCAAACATCGGCGCTCTGCAAGCAATTGACAACAGATGCGGCACGTTGCAAAGTTTCCAACGTGCTTGCCGCTGACTCGGTCAACTGGATTTTGAGGGCCGAGGCCCCGATGAACGTGGCTTGGTTGTAGGAAAAACACCATTTGACTGATTGACGCGCCGTGTTTTTGCTAATGGGTCCCAGACTTCTTCAATGTGATCCCAAGCAACCTTCTTGCCCTCATCGTACAGATTTGTTACCAGCCAATCATGTGCGCAGTTTGCATGTTGAATGAAACGTTGCTTCTCGTCTGCGGATGCTGCAAAGTCAGACAATAAGAAACCGCAACGGCAGCTGGCCCATGGACAAAAGCATTCTTGTAGTGAGAATCCTGCCCCTCACCTTGCCAGACCAAGCCGCCAGCCTTTGTATCCCAAGCCCGTGCCCAGAGTCGCCAATGCTGCTCCCAGCACATCATCATTAAAGGTGTTGGGACAGACCCAGTTGCTGGTCTCATACCACTCTAGAAGTCTTGTCACCAACTTGTGGAGAACCCTCTGGTACGCAAGGTTGTGTGGGAAAACCTGCACAGCATCCACCAATACTTCTGCTTGCGCCGCCTGCAGCCAGAAGTGACGGTTGTCGGGCACCTTGTCATTGCTGAAATACAACCGTCCAGAGTTGCCAAGATCACGCAAAAAAGTGGCGATGTAGGCATCAATTGCTGGCTGCTTGAAGTGCGCCATCCATCGGCCGAGATGACTTTTCACCTGCATGGCGAGGGAGCTCAGAGCCCCAACTTCTTGAGCCGAGACGGTGATTCCGACGAAGAATCCGGGCAAAAAACAGCAGCTCGGAGTAGCTTTGCCATGGCTGCCCCCCATACTGCCGAGTAAAAACATGGGACTGCTTATGCATACATCCTGATCAACTGGACCTGGAGAATTGGGCGCCCCGATGGAAGACCCTGGCGACAAGGCGGGCACGACCAAGAGCGTGCCGCCGCGCACCAGGAACATCTGCCCGTTGTCCTGGCAAAAGATCACAACGGAAGGCGTGCTGCCACAAGTCATCCCCTGGGTGTGGTTGATGCGCATTGTTGTTTTTTTGAGAACAACCCTTTGTCTACATGTATATGCATAAAATTCTCTATATTTCTATGTATATATTCGCCTCGGCCCCAAAAGGGGCCAAGGGCGCTCAGATCTCTTCTCCAAAGAGAATCTTCGCTTTTCCCCTCCCCCAACCCCCTCCCCAACCAAAATTTTGCCGGCCCCCCCCCCAACCCATGTCGGCTGGCCCAAAATCCTGTCCGGCGGGCCTTGAAATTTTCGGGGTTCGTCGGCGTCCAGCTCATGGGTCCATTTTTGTCGAAAATGTGCTGACAAATCACTAAAAAATTGCTTTTTTGTGACCTCCTGGTGGCCAGGCCTGTCTGACGTGTCTGAGACTAGGCTCAGGCCCAGCCCAACCAGCAACCCGCCTGCTGGCCAGGCCTGTCAGCCCAGCCCAGGCCTAGCCCAAGCACGGCCCCAAGTCATCCAGCAAGCCCAGCCCAGCCTGCCCAGCCCAGGCCCCGGCGCATCTCAGAGCATGCCAGCCACTAGGCCGGCCCCCAGCTCCCAGCCCACCAGCAGGCTCAGCCCAGCGTGCCAAGGTCAGGTTTGTCTAACGTGTCTGAGACTGGCCTCAAGCCAACGACCAGTCTCGTGTCTGAAACTGGTCTCAAGCTATGCCAGCTACTAAGCCTGTCTAGCCCCTCAGCCCGGCTGCCCAAGCAACTCAGCCCAGGCTGGCCAGGCCTTGACCTCCTGCAGTCTCAGACACGTTAGACAAACCTGATCTTGGCACGCTGGGCTGAGCCTGCTGGTGGGCTGGGAGCTGGGGGGCCGGTAGTGGCTGGCATGCCCTGAGATGCGCCGGGGCCTGGGCTGGGCAGGCTTTGGGCTGGGCGAAGCCATGGGTGGGTTGCTGGCCTGGGGCAAGGCCTGTTTCATACACACTTGGGCCTGAGGCTGGGTGGCAAGTTGCTGGCTGGGCTGGGCCTGAGCCTCAGCCCACCTGCTGGCGTGTCTTACATGTCTGCGACTGGCCTCAGCCCCAGCCCAGCCAGCAACTCGCTACCCAGCCTCAGCCCATCCAGCAACCCGCCCAAGCACAGCTCAGCCCAGCCCGCCCAGCCCAACAGCGTAGTCCGGCTGCCCAGCAGCCAGCTACCCACCCATGGCTTCGCAGCCTCGTGGCTGAGACTAGCTTCAGGCCCAGCCCAACCAGCAACCCGCCTAAGCCAACCCCACCCAAGCCCACCTTGTTTGAGACTTGCAGGCCTCAGCCTATCTAGCGCCAAGACTGGGCCTCACCAGCCTGGGCTCAACTAGCGTCTAGCCCAGCCCAGTCCGCTTGCTGGCCAGGCCTGTCTGACGTGTCTGAAACTGGCCTCAGGCCCAGCCCAGCCATAGCCCAGCCCCCTCAGTGCGGCTGCCCAGCCCGCCGTAAACTAGCTCAGGCCCAGCTCAACCAACAACCCACGCAAGCAAGGTCCAGCCAAGCTGCCCGAGACTAGCTTCAGGCCCAGGCTTATCTGATGTGTCTGAGACTAGCCTGTGGCCCAGCCCAACCAGGCGAGGCCGGCTTGTCTGACTTGTCTGGAGCCAGCCTCAGGTATTCGGACCTTCCCAACACTGGATTTCGGTGTTCCTGACCCTTCCCTCAAACTAGGCTGGGCCGAGGCGGGCAACGCGAAGCGTTTACAATTATGAATTAATATACATATCCAAATACACGTTTCATGATTGTCTGCTCGTTCGGTGCATAGGCGCATTCCACCAGATGATTGTAAAGTGAAGCCAGGGGAATTCATCCAATCAAGCTGACCCAAAAGGCGCCCTGTGGTCACCTCGCTCGCTCATGGACCTCGAGCTGCACTCGAATCTGGGTGTCCCAAGGGAAAGATGTTCCTAAGGGATCTCAGAAGCTGCTTTCTAGTAGAGTCTTGGCATCCCCCAGTTTGCTTTTGACCAAATGTGTATCTTTCCGTACTCTTTTGCTTTTTGGCGAACCTGCTTTGCCCTGTCGCACCTGGTTGGCTTGGATGCAAAGCGTCTGCCCAGGCATGTAGCCTACAGCGCAGGACGTATTTCAAATGGGTGTCTTTGAGTTTGCCTTGTTTCAGCTTCCCTGGTCGTCTGGATTGGTAGTTAAGGGTGGTTTCCCATTTGCCCTCAAGAACCAGGGGTTCAAATCCAAACCACCAATCCAAACCAGCAATCAGAAATACTTGACCGATTGATGCTCAGCTTGGCGAGTTTCCCTCTTTTGAGACAAACCCAAATGGTTGAAACTGGGCTGGAGCTGCGTCGTTTTCCAAATCATCTACCTACCTAGCGGAAACAGGACTCGAAAACCTCGAAAAACGTTGGAAGGGTGCCGCAAGCTGTTGTCCACGTGAGTGCCTTCGTGTCGAGTTAGATTCCGAGCCCAACATGAAAACCGCGGAACACCCGCCATGCTACGCTTGATCCATCACAGCGGGACTCGTGAAATTCACGCGACGGTGGCAAGGACCAGGCTGCGTACTTGCGCACCGGCACAAAGGTCCTGCAGCAGCGGTACGTCAGGCAAAAGGCTCAGAAGCCATCCCAAGCCAAACAAATGCGTGCCGCGCGCGCAAAAAAACAAACTCACGTCAAGTCCTTCTTCAGAAATGCAAGGGCCGGGTTTCGGGATCTCCGAAAGTTGAACCCACTTTTGGTCCAAAAGAACTGAGCAATCATGGCAACTCTTCCCAGTGCCTTTTCCGTGGTACTGGCTTCAAGGCGCCAGCTTACGCGCGTCCGTGTCGCGGAGTCCTCCACGAAGCTCAGGGAGACCTTCCCAAAGATATCCGTGGTGGCCACCTGGGGGCGAGCTGCGGGGGAAACGGCAAACACCGGTTGCTGGGGGTGACTGAAAACCTGCCAGGGGGAAAAACCGCAAAGGGTCACGTTACAAACTGTTTCCATGTGGGGTTGCCAAAAAAGTCTCGGTAGCTCGATGGTTGAGTTCTCGCCTGGAAAGCATCCTACTTCCCAGAGATGTTGTAGCCCAATGCTTTCTTGGTTGCTCTTTGCAGTCATGGTCATGGTTCCTTGGACTATCCGAAAGGCCATGACTCCCCCGACCCCAAAGTGCTTCGACTATCTGAAAGCCCCTAAGTTGGCGGCAACTCAGCTGGGGAGCCGGCCAGGTGTTGCACAGAGCTCTGATTTGGCCTGACTCCAGAAGAAAGCCTATGAAACAGCCCTCTTTTTTGTTAGGGCACATTGCTTCTTCTTGGGGGGTCAAAGGAAACCAATGGCATGTTTTGTTTCCTCATTTACCAACTCTCACGCAACCGCACGAAGATCAGGACTTGCAATCCGGCTTCCGCCACTAGGGTGTCTCTTTAAATCTTAAAATCGGGGACCCCAAAACGATTGTGTTTCCTGAGGCCTTCCTTTCAAACTCCAAAGAAGAGACCCCCCAGAAACAAACAAAAAAAGCATCACCCACTTGGCGCGCAGCAAGATCTTCGAGGCAAAAGGCGGCGGCCTCCTTTGCAGTCGCGGCGTTTTCTTCAAAGCGCCGTGCACTGATCCGAAGCAATGCGCGCCAATGCGCCTGTCGTAGTGTCGCTGAAGAGCATCCGTCAGATCCTGGCCAGCCCCGGTTTTGACAGCCCAAACACAGAGCAATCTCATGGTTCATATGCATTCATGTACGCGGTAATTGTTCCGGGAAGGGCACCCCAAACATCCGCAAATAACAAGTGAGTATTAGTGTGTCCCCCTCCCCCAAACAAAAGAAGGGAAAAATCAAACTTCCCAAATGCTTGGTTTCACTTTTTCTTCCATTCCAAATAATTCTCGTCCCCACAGCCCACCTGGTCTTGACACCCCGCTTCTCGCATCTCAGTCCTTCTGGCGGATCTCCATAATCGCGACGAAGGGGCTCACAACCTTTCAAGCAACCCCGCATGCAGTCCGGTGGAAAGCCCGCGGGCATGGTCAAATTGGTCCGTCCCTCGGGCTTGTTCAAACCCATCCCGATTGCAGGCTTGTCCCAAAACAAACTTAGGCTTCTGCCCTGACCGATCGCAGATTCCTCCGGTGGCCATGGTCATTGCTTTTAATCCCCCTACTTGCAATACTGTGACTGTGGATGGACTAATCCTGCAGATGGATGACAACATTTATACAAACCGACTGGCAGACTCCTGGATTTCTTCCATCCGTCGGACAGTCGGCATCCGTACCGCGCCTTTGCGACGGCGCCAGGAGTTCGAGCAATTCCAAACTCAGCGAAGGCTGAGTTTAGGTCTCTCACCAGTTCACCCCCCCCCATTGCACACCGAGTCCCCCAGCGATCCAAATCGGATCTCGGAAAAAGAGGGGGATTGTGAATCCTAACACGCCAAGCGCCACGCGACGGTGTCCGTTACCGCGAAAACAGAGCCGGCAGAGCTGGCGACTACCTGGTGAAAGATGCTTCCAGAAGGAGCTTGACCATGGCACATGTTTGACCGTGGCCCGTATGACACATATGGCACATGCGTTCACAGGAGCAAGAATCTTGCGTCCAAACGCAATACCAAAGGGATGCCACTTTGAAGCGCTGTTCCTGTGAGGTTAAGATCCACCTTATCCCAGCTGAGCATGTTCCAACCATGGCAAGCGGTTTCGCCCGCCTGTTCCATTTGCTGGTGATGCTCGTTCTCCAGACCTCAGCGACCGCGCGCATCGGCCGCCAGCGGAGGGCTCCAGGGCTCCGGCTGCAGGTGCCGTACTCCAGCACGTAGATACAGTCCTCCGGCCTGTTGCACGTGCTACCCCATTGACAAACCCAGCTAATTCATCGGGGTCAACAAATTGGAAGAAAGGAACCCCTAGAAAGAGGCAGGCCCTTAATAAATGGAGGGGGGGGGCGCTTCGAGTGAATGTTGCTCATTCAGTTGCTGATGTTCAAAGGAACGTCGTGTCTGCAGAACGCCCCAGTTGTGCTATGGCAACCATTCCTCTGGTCAGCGACAAATGACAGTGACTGAATCAAGAAACAACAATGCGTTGCCGCTAAGGGAGCAACCGGGCGAGCGTGTCTTTCTGTGAACAAATGAGTGAGCCTGCAGAGCTTCGCCGAATCTGGTCAACGTTCACAGGTGTCTGCGAATGACTTCAACCCAGGGATGACTGACTGCTGCACCCTGTTTGGGGCCATGCTCTTTGGAGACAAAGTGCGTCAAACGGATCTTGCAGGCTGGCGAGAGCAGGCAAGTTGCTTTTGTTGACTGGGCAGAAGCTGGTTTGCCAAGAGAATCTCGGTTTGAATGTGCGTCTCACGGTGAGACAAATAAGCCATATGGTCCAAAGGTTCATGTCTGCATCCTGTGGTAGTTTAGATCTCGCTGTCTCGCTTTGTGAGCTCTGGTGAATGGTCCACGGGGCGTCTGTCTTCCCTTTGGGACTACGCCTATCAAGCCAACCATGGCAGCCTGAGGCAACAAAAACAACATGGTTCATTCTAATCAACTGAAAGCATACAATGCAGAGCCTGTGAATCTGCGAAGGGTGCCAGGATTGTTGCCAACATGGATCAGCATGTATGAAACCCAGATTGGCAATGTGTCCTGGAAGGAACATCAAGCTTGGCCCTATGTGCCCAATGCGCCGGTTTTCTCTTCATTCACCACACCTGGAAATGGGGCCCTCGCAAACCACAACCAACGGTGACTCGTGCTGTGGTTTGGTAAAGGAACACCAAAAAGCAAAGGCAACCAGGCATTTCTGGGGAACCATGGGACCCCTGGTTTGAGAAAGACAGATGTTGGGTCCCAAACTCACCAAACAACGGGATGTAAATAGGGTGAAATGTGTTAGAGTTGTTGGCTAGGCTGCCTCAAAGCCAACTTGAAAAGCAATAGCTGGGGCAGATTTGCACTCATTGGTGAGCTTGAGAATACAAGAGGCTGAATGATTGCATACGTGATTCTCTTATGATCATGTCAATTGGCTTTAAAGTGCTTGGCGCTCGGTCTGAGTCAACCTAACCCTGAATGGGTAACCGGAACCCCACAACCCCATTCTTATGATTGGCCTGAGGTGAAATCAACCGAAGTGGGGGCCCTGTCACCCATGTCCCCATCGCCTGTTCGCGTCAGCCACGGTCTCACCGATGGTGCACACGTAGCGCTTGCCATGGGCGGCAACCTGCCCATCCACCAAAGCCTCGCCTGAAGTGATGCCCTTTGAAGGGTCTCAACGCCTCCGAGTCTCCTCCAGATTTATCTGAAGTAGTACAACCAACAGAAAGGAGCCATGGATTAATCTGAAGTCAACATCAGGCTTCTATTCTCAAAGTCTCAGAGTCTCAGATTTTGCCACGGACGCCAAGGAAAATTGCGAAGTACAGCTATGTAATGCCCCGTCTCGAGGTGAAGACAGCCCCGCCCCTGTTGGCGACTCGTTGCACTGGTCCAGTCAAGCCCAAAAATGGACTGAATGGCCCAAGACTTTGATGAGTTCAATGACGATGACTGAAATTTCACCTGGAAGGTCAAGCTATAAACCAGAACTCATTGCCAAACTCGATTGGCAAAGGGGCTTGCGCGACTTCGGACAAGGTCACGGGGCCTCCTTTCTGAAGCTCGTATCCGTGCCCTCGAAAACCTTGAGACCGTTGACGACCTGACGGTGTCTCCGCTCGCCAACTCTGGCCAGGGTTCCATGCTTGAAGTATCGGGTAGGCCCAAAGCGGGTTCTCCTTTGGGGAAATAAGCCACTGGGTTTCAGTCGTGAAACAATCAACAAAATGTGGCACCACCCCCCCCCCCATGGCTTGGACTCGGAAGCCCATGGAGCTGTTCTTGGTTGCATGGTGACAAGGAGCTGCGTCGGCATCCCCAACCCGCCGGTTGTGGGCGCCTCGTAGCGAACTGGCAACTTCATCATGAGAAAGTTGCCAGCCTCCCAGAAACACGGCGCGCCAGGCTAAAGTCAACTGCACCGTGAGACAATCGCAAGAGCACGTTGGGTTCCAAATGATGCAACCCAAGGGAAGGATCCAGGATTGCCTTTGGACAGCCCAAACAGATATTATGAGGACAGAAGGAAGCAGTGGCAAAAGTAATGGCAAGGGAAACCAAAAGCACCACCAATGGCAACTGTAGCAAAAGGCAACATCATCACGACAATGGCAGCCCCCTTTGACAATTGTGGCAGCACCAAACGCCGAGATCATTGGCACCATGGCAAGAACACTGCCAAACACATACATGTGTAGGGCCACGTCGTGACGACGCCACCTTTCAGAAAAGAACCTCACAACACCCTCCAAAGTCCTTTTGCAAATATCAGGCCCTAGTGATGTTTTTGGCATTCGGTTGAGCCTATGCTTCAGGCTCTTCCCTTTCGAATTCCCATGGCCAGTGTCGCAATCCATCCAAAAACAAATGGTTTTCTGTTGGTTGAACGAGGCACCATCCTTATTTGATCGAACCAAAGCAACTATGTGGCATGATGTGGTCTCATGGTTTCCCGTAAGCCAGCCCCAACAAAATGTCCCCATCCCCCGAAAATGTAGCAACCCTCAAAAACAATTCTGCCTACTCCCATTCCGCTGATCCCCAAGTCCGCACCCCAAGTCCCCAAGTTCCATGTCCGACCCTCTCGTGTCTCGGGGCCTCCTTGAGGCGGGCTGCAATGCCACCCAGCGCGCCGGGGAAGCGCTGCAGCACCTCAGACACCGCCTTCGCCGGCAGCCGCAGGATCTGACGCGGCGATGCGAGGGGGGGGGGGGGGGGGGGTGAAGTGGATGGGCGTGCGGTACCGGGAACCCCAAAAAGCATGGCAACTCACAGCAGCATGGGTCCAAAGGAAATTGATCTTGACCCAGGTGCGGTTGGAGGAAGCCACTGAACTAGGTTGGTTGTCCCACGCAGGAACAGTCATTTTCCAAAAAAGGTAAGAAGAGCAAAGTTGGATGTGCAGGGCCCCGGTTCCCGGCCAAAAAAAAGGACGCCTTTGACCAGCACTAGGGCCCACATAATTCGAATGAGATTGCGGATACTTTAACACCAAATAATCTTACAATCATTGGATAACAATCTGTAACTACCTGGCCCCCTTGGAGTACTTTTGCGAACACAAAGCCCATCGCTTGGAAGAATGTTGAAAGACAAGAACCCTGGGGGTGGGCATGCCATGCGAAAACCCGGGTTTGTCAGATCAATCCCCCTGGCCCTTAGCCACGCACAAGTGGCCCTGAAACCCAACTTTCCCCAACCATGGGGCTCCTCCCCTTTGAAAAGGCGTTGCTCGATCATTCAGAACGAATTCAAGGCGCGGCAACGGCAGGAACCGGTTCCTGGAAAGCGGCATCCCGCACTACATCCTGGACTCTGAAAGGGAGCATGTCTCTATTGGTTTGCACTGGGAACTGGTCTCTTGCATCCATAAAGACCAGCCAAGAGGAATTAAAGTATCACCATTGACCGACTCCAACTCTCCCACTTCAGCTTCACGCTTTCGTAGCCCCACTCCTCTGCAAAGTTCACGGCGCGCACGCTGGCCGGCCGCGGCAAGGCTGCACCAATCTGCGGTTCACATCACCAGAACCACAAAAGGGCTGGCAAAGGGGGCTCCTCGACATTTGGGTGGGGGTTACCAAGGGTAGCCAACACAAACCAAACCAGTCCATCACGCCAACGGAGTCGCCAACCACTCCCTTGGCCAACTTCCACGCTCCCGGGTCCAACTGGGTTTCCCTGTATCCTTCTTGCACGCTTTTAGCTTTCCGGAAGTTTTTAACCTTGATGGCGTAGGTTTGTTCTGCTGGGCGTGGTTGAATCTGCGAGACACAAGAATAAACATATGTAGCTTGCGGGCATCTGGAATGGGGCTGAAAGAACTTGCCAAACATCAGGATACAATTCCTGGGATACACCCCATGCATAAGGAAATCCATTCCCCCCTGCGAGGACGGCCCAGCTGTCTCACTGGCACATTGTGACTGAAGTTATGCAGCTGCCCATCGATGCCAGCGGTTCGTAGATACAACGAATCGCACCGAAAGGCGGACGTAGCTTTCGTGGTACCCAAACTATTAGTCCTTCAGGGCGAGCCTTTGGCTTATGGAAGCTTGACTCAGTCCGAAGTAAGCGCTAGAGAATTCCTGCAAATGGTTGGTGGACATCAATCCCCACCTAAAAGGTTCCACAAACCCGGTGGCAAAGGTTCCTCACCAGCAAATCAGGTAGTAGAACCTGCTACATGGTTCCTTGTTGCTGTTGACCCCTCTGCACAAAAATAACTTTTTGTGGGTGTAGTGGAAAACCGCTTGATGGCTGCGCAGCCATTTGCCGATCTCGGGCTCCGACCAAAGCCACATCGCCGATGATCGCGGTGGCGCCAAGCTTGCCGATCGCCACGCTACTGGCCGGTTGCAACAAATGCCAAACGCTAAATCACCTGATATGGCTGTCCTACTCAGATTCTGATGTTCGGATTGGTACGAAATTCACAGCCATCTGCAAGTAATTTAGCAGGCACCTAGGTCGATTTATGCAAAAGGCCAGTAAGTGAAACTGCATGGTGCACGCAGCGTCCTTGGCCGATCGCCATTGGCAACAGTTTTTTCCACCTCGGCGATCGAGAGCAGCCGGGCCGGAGTTCAAAGTGAAAATCAAAAACAATGCAAAAATAGAGATACCTTTTTCCCAACAAACTGTAGACCCGGGATATATGGGTCTGTCTTTTTTTAGGGACTTCCGTTTTTGGTTGGCTTTAAAGAAAACCCAAAAGGAGAATCACCATTTTGGGGCTCCCACCAATGTCTGTGTGTGTGTGCTCGTGTCCAAATGGAAGGTCATAAAACCAAGACCTAACAGCGTGCGAGAGCTCAGCTGAGCTTGCGACCACTGCAAGGCCTTCCTCGATGAGGACCAAGTCTTCATCATTGTCACCCTCTCGGATGAAAACCTGCCACTCATGTCAGACGGTCAAAATGACGGGTTTTTTTGTGGGAAAGAAAAACTGGTGTGTCACCGTGTCACCCTGTCTTCCTCCCAACCAGGCCATAGACTACTGGAGGTTTTGACCAAACCTCATGTGTGTCATGTACTAACTTAGAGCTATATTAGGGGGTATTGCAGCCCCCAACCTCAAGCAAAATTGGCCACCATGTGCGCCTGTTTTAAGGGTTTCCCTCTTGTTGGCTTAAAGGGAACCAAACGGAAACCAACCATTTCGGGGGTTCCCCTGTCTTGAAACAAACCCATATAGCCACAGGGCTATGGAATTCGAGCCTCCCCGGCAGGGACTTCCATCTGCTCCGCATTCTCGGCGATGGCCCACACCTTTGAGCAAGGTGTGGGCCGACCCTCCCAGGCCAAGGAACAAGAAAGGCACGTGTGCTAATATGTTTGCCGATGTCTTCAGTGCCGTCTCAACCAGGGTTCTCAAAAGGGCGTTTCATTGCTTTTATCACTGGCAAGCGAGACTTGGCTTGGAGATGGTGTAGAATCTTAACGCTGGCGGAAGAAGAGCTTGGCAAAGCATCGTTTCAGCAGAAGGACCACACCGGAATGTTGACCCTGGTCAATAAGCCGCAGGAGGACCAAATAAATCCATGAGGTGAGATCGAGCCATGGGCTCAGGGCTCAGAAAGAAGAAACTGCAAGGGTGCGACCCAAAAATGGTGTTGTCGATAGAACCACCCAATGCAGTGTACTGGAAGGCCCTCCTGTGCTGGGTAAGCTCGTGCAATGGCAACAGCGAACTGCAAGCAAGCTCTCCTGTACTGGTTAAAAACGCGCTCGTGCTGCCCTGCAGAAGCCCTCACATGATCCACGGCGGCCCCAGCCGGTTTAAGCGGTTCCCAATCGCCACACTTAAACTTGGGATAATTACCTCATTTTTGCGGGGGCCAACACTGGTTATTCGCCAATCTTGCCAACGCCCCCTACCCCGTGCCATGGACACCTTGCTGCCAACGCAGCACCAAACTCTGCACAAACACATACTTATACCCTCAGCGTGGCCACGCAAAATGGTATGGGTAACACCAAAACTTGGGGCAACCACCTCTACCGAATCTCCATGACATATTGCAACCATCTCTGGTCCAACATCAAGCCGAAAGAATAAACTCCAAGTGTCCACGATGCACAACTCCCTTTCCGCCCCCTGCGGATTCAAATTGCAGGGCCCTCGAGGGAAGACCAATCCCCCGTAGGGTTGCCCAAAAGATAGCTACATCCACAAATCGCCTGATTTACCTGCGATCCAAATCAGCTGGCAACGTTGTGACTTTCGCCGAAGGGACGTCCTCAAAATCGCACAAGGCAGTTGGCGCCTCAAAATCCAAAAACAAACACAACAAGTCGCAAATTACAGAGTTCCAAAAACAAGACCCAGGAAAAATCATTGAGTAACGAAGAAAACCAGGACAAACACCTAGAGCCGAAAGAGCCGCCATGGGCGGCCGGAGCTCCCAAGCCGCTTTGGTTCCCAAGGCTTGGGCCACCTCTGGCGGCATCCCCGGGAAGGCGTGGCAGCAGCGCGTGATCAGCGACCGCCAGCGGTCCGCCAGCACCTGGCCCAGAACGACCGGGGGAAGCATAGCTTCGACCGATTGGGGAGCCATGTCAATGATTGAACACGCCTGGATCAGGGTTGAACGCGAATTACAGTTCCCGCGCAGTGGCAAATGACTGTCGGGTCTATGTGGTCTCTTTCATGAGCATTGCCGAAAGGACACGTCCGGAAGGTGCCCATGCTAAGAGGTTGCCACGGACACTTGTGATAATCAGTTGGTCCAACTGCTTTTGCCGAGAGACACAAGACACCCGAATCCACCCCCCCCACCCCCCGCCCCTCACTTCCTATGGAGTGAGCTGCGACGAATTTGACGTGATTGCAAAAAGCGGGCCCCAAAGGGCTGTAGGGGTAATTGTTCTCTCTCCCCCCCCAAGACCTGTCCAACGATGGCTGTGATGGCGGGCAGGCCTTGCTTTGCTGCCGGAAGACAGCCAATGATTGCCGGAGCCTCGGACAACGAAAAAAAAAGCGTGTGCCAAAGCTCATAGAAGCTTAGCGAGTCCCCGGCGCTTTGGCTCTCTCGCCCTCATCCCCGAGGCATAGGCCAACCTGCCAAGATAGTGGGGAAAGGCTGCGACTGCCCTCCCCAAACCAAGTTGACATCCCATCTTACCCCTTGATTTTTGGGCAAGTAATAAGTTTGGCTGCCCACCCCGGCAGTGATTCCGAAAGTTGCTTGAGGCAAGCGATATCCAAACGATAAAGCGGCGGCACCGCAAAAGTGCGCTCTTTCTATCGCAGGAAGCAACTGCAGAAAAGCTTCCTGACGTGTCACCAATGCCAAGGACGCTTCTCTCTGCGAGATTTTCCGTTGGCCCATCGGCTCCGGAGGCCTCCTCCACTAGTTCCAGGGACAACGCCTCGGCGGAATGGCCAGAGGTTAACGTTGCTTGCAGGTGAGAGGGAAAGCCGTGGGTTTGGAGACTCAAATTTTGGGTCCAAGATGTTCAAATTTGAAGAGAAGGATAGGTGAATCCCCTGGTTTGTAAAGGGGGTTGTCTTCACAGGTGGGCAACTCTGGTGTTGTCGGTGAGCCAGGGCGTCCGGCGTCGTAGCCCAACCAAATCTGGTCCGAGATTCCGCTGACTGCTTGAGTTGCCATGAAATGTGATCCTCAAAAAATTGGAGAAACCGGGCCCTTGTTGGATGGTCTTGACAAGTCTCGAAAGGGAAAGGAAAACCACCAAGGAATCAGAATTTCAGAAGGCCAATTCCTGTTGAAAGGCACCCCATTGGAAGGAACTCCTTGCCACCTTGCAAAATGCCACAGGCTCTGAACAGGTTGAGCCGAGTGAAACATACCGAAGTGGCTCTTCGAAGGAGGGATCCTGGCTTCCTTTCGGCTTCCTTGTGAAAACCATACAGCAAGCATTTTGTTTGGGCTTTGAGAGTTTAAGGCAGACTCAAATGGGTGCTGTTTAAACTAGGAATCGGACCCTAAAACCAAAATCGGGCTACACCCACCAAAAATCGGGCTCACAGGTTCGAGATGGATGCTGGGAATGATGGAGTGCGAGCCCAAAGGTACCCCTTTACAAGGCTCTTCTGAATTAGCGCATCCAGGCAAACCGCAGCTTTTTGGGATGCAAAGAATCCGACGGGCGGCCTTACCCATGGTTGAGGACGGGCTCCTACCCTTCATCTAGTGAGCAAGCTGGGGATCCAATTTCACGTCCGTGGGTTGTGACTCACCCTTTCGGGAGCCCGGCCACTAGCCGGGCCCCGCCGCCGGGCTGATACTGCCAGCCTCAAACCGGGGGCCCGAAAAGGCACGTGGGAAATAGCCATGGCAATGGACCCGCTCTTATCCACGTTTTTGCTTGGTCACTCTCTCTTTCTCTCTGTGATACCAACGCAGCTGTTTTTGGTTGGGTAATCCTGTCTGTAATAAAGCAGGATTACCCTTATCACAGGAAGTGGCCCTACACCCGGCTGTGCACAAGCATGAAAAGGAGTGCAGCAAAGAATCAGGGGGGCAGCATGTTCGTGGAAGCTGACGCTGTTCGTCTTGTCCACTTGTATCGGAAAGTTGAGACGTTCATTTTCATTCACAAGCATTTGGCAGATCAGGAGAGGCATGGCCCATGTCATGGGAGTGTTTCGGCCGTCTGGCATGAAGGTCTTGCGCAGTTCGGGCAAAGAGTCTGCACTTTCGACCTCCACCAAAGAAAAGGCCAAAGCCCCGTGTCGTGATGTGTCAGACTTCACACGCTCTTTCGAAATGATGTGACCCGGATAACCACGGTACGCACGCGGCATGTCTCCATGGTTTTGAAATAACAAGGTGACCATCCCTGTCAACCGCACGTGTGCGATCCACCTTTCACAGACCCCCGGGAAAACGGATTGGAGTCGCTTTTCCCTCGTTTCACGCCATTTCCAAACACCCAAGAAATGGGGCTTATCATGGCTTATCTCCAAACAGGCAATCCCTGAAGCGGGCTTAGGCGTTTTGTTTGGTTGCACACACAACGAAAAAAAGGCTAACTCTAAACGAAGGAACCCCCAGCGGCGGCCAAAAAGTGACGGTCTTGGGCCCGCGGCCCATGCAGTTCTCCTACAAGCAAGCTTGGAATGAGGGGAGGTCGCCTCAAACTTCGGGGAAGCTCCCAAACCGCCGGTCAGGTGGCTCTCCGCTTTGGTTCCCTCTTCATTTGCTATTTTGCACCCGGAACAACTGATTCCCTTTGGTTTGGTCTTCATCCACCCGCGTGACCGGCCTTAGCATTCACGGCGCTAAAGGATTAAATAAACCAGTAGAAACGAACAAGCACACTGGGATGGGCTCCAAATAGGGAATCCAAAAAAGAGCTTGAGACAAAATGGACACCCTCAAGGGGTGTGTCTGGCGCGGACGACACTCGGGACACCCGCAGGCTTCATTTCGAGGGTCCCTATTGTATCAAAAAATAAAACTTTGGCCCTTTAGGAACTCGCTTCGGTGTCATTTGCTTGCCCTCCTTTGAATGTTGGGTTCGCATATTTCAACGGATGATCATAGATCTTCTTCCAAGGGTAGGTTTTGTTTGAGCATTATGTTGACCGACCCTGCTCGGAGGACGAATCTCTAGCACAGAAAGACAACTTAACGTCTTGCCAGCTGCCACTTCCTGTATTTTGTAGGAAGCTTCAGCACCGCAGCCGCAAACCAAGATGAAACCTCAAAATCCGCATTTTTTAGCAACAAAAGGAGGGGGTTCTTTTGCGTCTTAAGGGCTTTGCATACGGATCGCGCACGTCGGCCTCCTCATCCTCATCCTCATCCTGCGCACTTGAAGGATTCCGAGCCCCATCCCTCCAAGAGTGGCAGCTTGGCTTGGACCGGGTCAGCGTCTCTCGGCTTGTTCTCAATGAATCGGTGTGTCATGATCATATCCCTACTTTTGAATGTCCATGAACTGCAAATGAGCGCCACACCCAATTAGAGGGTATAGCCCGTACTGTAGAACCATAGAAGCACATATGAAATGGCCATTGGAGGCTGGCGTTCCAACCCCTCTGGCCTCCATCGGCACTGGAGGCGCTCCTGTCCGAGTTTTAGGCGGTCGGACTGTGGCACGTAGGCCGCTTGGATCGGGGGAAGTCTATCTGTGGAAAACGGGCAGTCAGTATGTGGGATGTTGGGCAAGTCTTCACTAGAACACCACGCAATGCATGCCGGTGCGGCTGCACCACGGTGCATGCTCAAAGCAACTGATCTGTGGACAATCCACTCCAGAAGGATAGTCTGAAGGGGTTCCCGCCATAAATAGGAGCCCAAGAAGAGTCTCCAACGGCATCGGCCAAATGTCATCCCTGCAACCAGCCCAGAACCCTTTCATGCCAGAGCCGGGGCCGTCCGTAAACCCAGATTAGCGAATCGACCCCATAGCTGTCACTGCTGGGGAAAAAAAGGAAGACGACAAATCCGGTGTACCTGGTCTGGCTCTTGTCCACTCAGAGCTACCCCATGCCCGCTCATGCAAATTCCTCCTGGTCCGTTCGATGAGGGCTCCCCCCCAATAAGAAGCATGCAAACATAGCTCACGATTCTCAACATGGCCAAAATGTATCATAAGGGACCCCGGACAGACTTTGTTCTGGCTTCTGGTGTGCCATTTTCGCCGCCCTGTGAACTCCGGACTGGCCCCCCGCCTCGGATCTCCAGCGGCAGCCACCCGCTCACTTTCGGCCCGTAGCCTGGGGCGTTCCTGGCACCCCCGCGCCCCGCCCTCGCCTGAAGTTTCGGTACTGGTCAAAAAACCTTTTGCCAATGGCATTGCCCATTGCAACTCGATCTGTTGGGCCGGATCTTTCAAGGAACTTCAACAGGAAGGCCCCACCCCCACGATTCTTAGCCCTACTTTCCCTAGGCATCAAACCGCATCCGTTTGCCGCATGCGGCTTCCAGAGATGTCCAGGAAATCCGTATGGCGACATCCGACGAGTTTCCGCTGTGCGAAGCTTGGCATGGATCGATCCAAACTGCCGGGCACACAGCTTGCCCACCGAGTTGGGACCTGACTGGCACAATGAAAGGATCAAATGGATGAGCTCCCAAGTATACATGGCGAATTTTCAACTGGGGAATATGTCTATTATATATATATATATATATATATATATATGTGTATGTGTATAAAATATGTCATGTGTGTTAAATATTGTGAAATCCAGCTGTTGCGATTGTGCAGTATTCGTGATTGCAAATGCAAATCCACCTCGACTGCTGCTCCCTTGAACTTGAATGAAAGAAGCCGATCCCACCTCAACCTCAGCCTCCGTCAGACGGGTGTCTGTGTATGTGTGTGTGGTGTCAAAATCGGAGCCTTTTGGCTTCCCTTGCAAACCACCTCGTCTCCGGGTTGAGACCCGGGCACAGGGAGAAGAAGCACATTGTGTCCTCGAAGCACACCTCCAGGCAGCACTCAACTGCACAGCTCGAGCTCGATTTGGGATGTCTCAAAATACCGAACCGATTTGTACACACATGGCTTCAAGTTTCATAACCCAGTGCTTTGGGAGTTGGTACCATTCTTGGGTTTAAAAGGAAGCCAAAGGAAACCGCCCATCTTAAGGTAGCCGACTGAAACGAGCTCAGTTGAGCAAGGCTTTGGGTTCTAACATGAAGACCCATTCAGGCCGAACATGGAGACACCTATCGAAAGCTATGAGCAGAACCTTTTTAAACTGCTAACAGGGTTGGGCACTGTTTCAATTTGCAAGTCATAAACTTGATGAGCGTCTACAATGTGTCTTAGTAATCTCCTCACAACACATGATCACGATCATCATGAACACGAACATCATGATGATGATGATGATGATGATGATGATGATGATGATGATGATGATGATGATGATGATGATGATGATGATGATGATGATGATGATGATGATGATGGCGATGGCGATGGCGATGGCGATGGCGATGGTGATGGTGATGGTGATGATGAGGAGGAGGAAGATGAGGATGATTGAGATCATTGCTCGCTTCCGAACCGTGATGATCATAACTCACAGTGGCCCTTTTTGTCCCTTGTTTGGAAGGCACGATGATTTCTGGATTCAAGATGTTTGGCTTTGGGAGGGTAAAACCATATAAACCCCATAAGTGCCAGGCTCAGAGATCGTTTTGAGCTAAGTGACCGTGAATGATCCTTGTCGCCCCGGTTGTCATTTGGTCCTGTCTTTTTTTGTGGGTTCTTTCTGGGGTTGGTTGAAAAGGAGCTCAAAGTCCAGGCCCTTGGCGAACTATCGCCATGCCCGCCTTGCCCGCAGCTGGCCCCACATGCATATCATGGCTCCCACCTCAGCTCGGCATATGCTCCCAGCAAATAGGACAGTGCACTGACTCAAAAGACCTGAAATGGGCTTCGGCTCCCTCTGGCTCCATTTGAAACCACTCCGAAAGGCGTACCCTCAACAAACAAAGAGACAGCGAGAGAGAGAGAGAGAGCTATAAACCCAAAGACATGCGCACGCGCGCACACACACACAATTACCATGAAGATCCAACACCTGAGGGTTGGAGACTGCAAGCTTCTTGCGAGTTTCTGGTGATGCCTTCTCTGGACATGCTTGCACTGGTTGCCACTGTTTGCACCAAGCGGGAAACATGGAAGGCCTCTGACTAGCGCCAACTGCATCCACAAAACAGGTGCCATGATCAACGCTTCAGTAGAAACCCTTGTCAAATGACTTCCGCAATGATCCAAACTGTTGCAAGGTTGATGAGACCATCCCTTCTGTTTGACAAGGGCACACGTCTTCGGCTCCGAAGCTGGCAAGCGTCCGCGCAGTTTCTGGCTCTGGCTCGCTGTCGCACATGGCTCTCACCCACGCCATCATGATCTCGCGCTGCCTGAACCACGTCCACTGCGCCTGGCTCAAAAAGCCATCCATGTGTGCTGGAATCTTTTTGGGTCTCTCTTTTGTGGCTCCATGGCAATGTGGAGAGCAAACAAGTATAAATAAATGGTTGTGCCCCACAATGTCGAAACCTTCCTGAAGCCATCCTGCAGTGACATGGTTCATGAACATAAGACCTTCCGCCGCGCCGCGCGAGGCGCGCCTCGGCCACTGCGGCCTTTCCGAAGACCGGGAAGAGCTCCCAGAACTCCGCGCGCCGCTCCTTGGCCGGCTGCGCCTCGCAGCTCGCACCGCGGATGCTCGGACTGAGACATGAGGATACCAGACATGCCCAGGTGAGTCCACTTGCGGAACCACAGTTGCTCCGCAAAATCTTCGGGCCCACAACCAAAACAATGTGCCGTGAAGTCGTCGCCTTGCTTGAAAATTGTTTTGAGGCTTCGGTAACCATCTCTACCAAATCCCAGAAGGATGCTTTGAACTGGTTGACTCAATACAAGAACTATCCTGTTTCTCCAACTCCCTGTGATGCACCAGCCACATGCCAGCCACATCTCTAGATCCCAGCTAATCATGGAAGTGAACCCTGTAGGGGTTTTGTAACACAAAACCCAGCTTAAAAAAAAAACTAATAAGGGGTTCTTCAATATAGAACATCTCACATGGCTTCTGTTCCTTTTGGTTCCCGTTCAAACCCATCCACGGGGTCCACTGAAAAAACGGGCGGGCAGGGCAGACACCCCGCGTCCCGCCTGGGCCCTCGTCTCCCAGCGCCGTCTGGACGACAAGCTCCAGCGCCATTGGGCCCAACACATCTGCAGCCGCCTGGAACGGCCAACGGGTTGGGTGATCAACCAGAAGTGATCGCATGAGTCATAATCAAGTGGCGAAACGGGAGTGGTAACGGGTCTAATTACCCAAAACCATGAGGAAACTCTGAGCCTTGACTCGGTCGGGGTTATGAGTGGGGCTCACTGTTTTGATGGAGAAAATGAAGGAAACCCAAAAGGCCTTCAGGGGCAAAAAGGTCCGGCACGTCCGGTAACTCAAAATTCGCGGGCCGTGAAATAGCTTTTTCGGGATGTTCAAAATTGGAGACTGCCCTCAATCCCTAGGGAAAAGTGTTCATCCGTATTTCCAGAAGGATAGTCTCATGCAGAATGGCTACAGTCGGACCTTTGAACAAACTTTGAACCCAACCCTAAGGGCCGCAACCCATCCGCCGCGCCTATCATCCTGGCGCCGCCTTGCAGCCTTCACCGCGCCCAGCAGACGCGCGGCGCGGCGTGCGCAGTGGCGGGCCAGCCACTCTGGCGATCAGGCCGCGGTGCCCCGGTGAGTCGACACGCAGCTCCCCTCTTGTGGGTGTCTTTTTTGATGGACTCCTTTTTTCTTGGTGGGGTTAAAGGGGAAAACCAGCAATCTCGAGGGTCGCCAGACAAACCCGTTTGGTTAGGTTGGGGGGGCCTTCCCCTTTACCGTGCAAGAACCAGGGTCAAGGGCCCAGAACAAACCCCAACCACCAATTGTGGGTAAGAGCGCCTTTGACTTTTGAAGGGAGATAACTGCGTGATGGGTGAAACACGTTTGAAGGACATATACAAAATCCATCATGAATAGCAGCGTGAACACTTCTGAACCCTTGGGAGGGTGTCACCCAGACCTGTCCAACCCCTGATACAACACAAGGGTTGTTGCACAGATTTGACGCCTATGTTCATGACTTTGGTGTTCAAGTACCCGACTACCTAATCATTTAGGCACTTGGCTGGTCTGCAGATCATCCAAGCGCATCTTAATCATGTACACTGTCAGAGAAGAAATCCTTCTCTCAACCAGCAAGAAGGAACCAAGTGCATTCTCGGAGTCTTCTCTTTCGCCTTTCTTCCCCTCGAAACCCGCCTCGCGCGGCCCGGGTGATAACCTTCGCGGCGCGGTTCAGGATGGCGCATCCGCGCCTATCGAAAGCAGCACAGAGAGCCGCCCAGTTCGGTGGCTGAGGGAACGCACCAAAGAAGCAAGTTGCTTTCCGAAGAATTGGGCAGTTGTTTAGTAAAATGCACATTTCTTGGTCTTGGGTTGGACTCTTGAACCAAAATGTCAACAAAGGGTCCATTGCCAATTACAACATGACAATATCGTTGCCTTTAGACCACCAGCCATGGGCCCCTTGGAAGGGACGGCGATACACGGTTTGGTCTGCTAAACAACTGTTGGTTGGAAACATCAATGTCCAAACATCAGTGTTTGAGTCGCCCAGGTTGGGCTGCTGCCTATGGCCCCCATGCGAATCCCCTCCAAAACGAACTCGCTAGGTTCAACGAAAAACCCTCCAAACCGGTCAAACATGCGCGATGTGGCTCCAAAAATGGCACCGGATAGCGTCAACAGCTCAGCGCTGCAAGTGGCGCTGGCCATAACGGATGGACCCTCCCAAACGCAAGCATGTAGCAAAAAACCTGGCTTTCCACTGGGCCCCCTTTGAGGTTCCATACTTGCTTTTGGGAGGGTAACTACCTTGCCCAGGAACCAAATCCGGGAGGGCAGAAAAGTCCGAAAAATGCCCCACGGGCACAACGCCAAACGCCCCACACCCTCCGCTTCTCGCTGGCACTCGGCTTCTCCTCATCCTCCGCAGGCTCTGCCGCAGGCTCCGGGCGCGCTGAACGCGGAAGCACCGGGCCAGCGCCTCCGGGCTCGGAGGCTTGGGCTGCCTTTGGCAAAATTTGGATACCCCCGGCTCCGCAACGGCTCCAACTAGCAGCTAGCAAACACGATCAAACCACAAACAAACCAATATGACATGGTCTAAATCAAGGTTGTTTGTAAATGTTCCGTCGAAGAATGAGGCATGCTGCAGCAAGGATGCTTCCAGCTGGAGTCGACGACAAGGACATGCGTGAAATTGGTGGAACTGTGCCATGTTGTCGTGTGAAATTGCTGATTGAGGAACTCGAGCAACCTTGGTCTGCTGCGCTCGCTGTTGGATCTGATTGCTTCCGCAACTCTTGAGCACTCAAAAGGCAGTCATCTAGCAACGATACGTCAGTACTCTCAGAGACAAACTCACAGGTCTCCCCTGCCCTCGTGTCATCGCTGGCCCGGGAAACTTTTAAAACAAATCTTACAGTGGGGCCTGCAGAGGTTTGTGGGTGAGCAAGGGGGCCGTTTCTGTGTGTGTGTGTGAATTTGTGTGTCCCCTTCGGTTCCAAATGACGGGCAAAACGAACTCACAAAGACCCCGAGCTCAAAGTTCAGCCCACCCCGCCCCTGCCTGGAACAGGACGAAGGGAAACTTATTTGAGATGACCCTCAAAGGCGAAGTTCAAAGTTTGAAGCGCCCAGGAGGGAACTTGCAGGGACCAACCATCGCCTCTTCCCCCCAGCCCATCCCGGTCGCCGAAGGCCTGCCTCGACCCTTCGTCGCCGGAAGGCGTGCTGCAGGTGACGGCTCCAGGCCCGCTGCAGGCAGACGGCCGCCTCCTGGTGCTAGAGGCAAATGTGGCGTCTGTATGCATCTGTGTTTTGAGGATGCAGCCAGCCATAAGAAAACAAGGGCGCGAACTTCTTTGTGCTAGCTGTTTTGCCAAAGGAACCCTGGCTGGTTGTTTGAGGCACCCTAGCTGTTTGGCTTTCCTCTTACGGTACCAGGGATTCTGAGCACGTGGGTGATAGCATGTCTGTTGCTCAAACACTCCAATATCAAATGACTTTGAAGAAGTCATCCTAAGCCGGTATGTTGTCCCTAAAAACATGAGCCCCGAACAAAACCAAATGTTCCCAAGGATATGGGCAACTTGGGCTTCTCCCTGTGTTTATGTCGGAAATTGGGTTGGCGTTTCATGTCCTCTGCTGCCAAACAGATTGTCAGTCGTGCACCCATATCAATTGAACAACAACGGCTGCAGCGCCGCTAGGACTGTGAAACCATGGGACCTCTGTTGGTCTCAAAGACAGCATGCAGATGCATCCCCCCAAAACTCCTCTGAAAGTCTGGGGACGACAATAAACCTGTTGATGTATACTTAACAAATGATTGCCTGCGTTGTCATTCCCTGCACTATCCAATGTTAGACGCACCAGATCGCCAGGGCGCCAAAGCCTACTCCAGTGGGCGTGCTTCTTTGATGGGTCCCCCTGTTGCCCTGCGAAGCAAATCTCGGGAAGTTCTGAAGGGTCCTGCTGCAAACGCTCGTGCTGCTCCCGCTCGCACAGCTCTTGCTGCTCACGCGCCCAACTCTCGTTTTCGACCTGATGCAGGAAACCGGGGTCGGGCTAAAATCATGTTGGCTGGGCCGGAGGGAGGGGGGGAAGCCCCGAACGCTGAAGCTGAAAGGAAGCCAAAGCTGGGATGTGGGCCAAAGCCTGGAGTGAGCCTAACGTCCAATGCAAGGCTTAGCGTTGCATGGCGGCTGCCAGTTGTTTCGCGAGGCAAAAAA